TTTTTGGGACGAAAAAAATAAAAAATAATATCCTTCTAGTGGATAGATTTTTTTTTTGACACATGAATAATTAATTTATTTTTTTTTTTATTTTGATTGATGTATTTAAAATTAAAATAAATAAATTATTATTATCATATATATGTCCGTGAAAGTGTCCTCAACATGCAACAAAGTATTATGTAGACATCTCCGATATCGAAAAACTAAATATCGAAAATTTTACTTATAGAACTATTTTAAAAACTCTCCAATTAAATAACTAAGGTGTGTTTGTTTGGGGATTTGAATAGTAAAATTTTTGAATTTAAATAATTGTATGATGTGATATAAATAGGTGTTGATTTGATATTTTGAATGTAAAATTGATTTTTAGTATAATATAAAAAATGAAAAATAGATGTTTGATTTAATATTTTTAGGGAGAAAAAATTGGATGAGTAATATAAATTCAATCCAGAAAGAGCAACTAACTATGGCTCTTGGCCCAGACACCCGAACAAACACGCCCTAAATTGATAAAGAAATTCGACATACTAAAAAAATAATTTACCTTTATTATTACTATTATTATTTTATTTAACCATCATAAATGAATAATTAAATAAAAAGTAACACATAAATTATAGTCACCGTCTCCAAACTGACGCTATTATAATAATAACAATAATAAGTGAATAAATAAATAAAAATTATAAATTATTATTCACGTCTCCCCGCGTCACGAAGTTGAAGGGGTTCTTTCCATCCTTCCATATTTTATTTGTTTACTTATATACATATAATATTATTTAAAATCTATATTTTAAAATAAAATACTCCCTTGTCCACGTACCATGTCTATGTCTATGTTATCGTTTCTGCAGGTTCCATATTCCATGTCACATTTTTTTTAAAAAAAAATAAATACATATTTTATTTTCATTTTTAATTTTTTAATTTTTTTTTAAATTTTAATTAAACTAATTAGTTATCTTAATATTAATTTATAATTATTTATATTATAAAATAATTATTTTCACTAATACATTTTTAATTATCTACAATTACATCCCTATTAAAATATCGTGTCTACAGTGTAGCAGACACGGTATGGGACCGAGGGAGTAATTATTAAACAATACCCCTCTGTTTACAAACAAAAAGTATACTATTTATTTTTATTATTTTAATTTATCAATTTAAAATATATTCAAATTGACTTTGTTTATCAATTTCAAATTATAATAAATCCATCCTATATGAAATGACATTTTTTTTTATTATACTATTATAATAATTAATATATTTTTATTTTTGGTAAATTTATTAACTTAAAATATACATAACAAATATAAATCAACTTAATTAATATATAAAAAATAACATTATACATCATTCAAAATTTTTTATTTTTATTTCTCTCATTAAAAAAATAAATATTTTTATATATATTTAAAATAATACATAGGTTATAAAATTAATTTATGTTAATTATAAAAAAATTATTATCTACAAATAATATTCATATTACATATATATATTTTATTACTATATATTTTAAATATTTAAATACATATTTTAATTTTTTAAATAATATATATTAATTATTTTAAAACTATCAATATTATTAGTTACATAACAAAATAAAAAAAATAATATTATAAACTCACAATTATTAACTAATTAAGTATTATACTTTAAATATTGCATCTTTAATAAAAGTGATCAATTATCTTGGAACGGAAAGAATATTTAATAAAAAGATTAATTATTTTCATAAAATTTTATTTAATCAAATTAGATACCCTCTTTCAAATATATTTATTTACGTTGTTATCTACCAGCAAATTGATATAAAAAAAACCGATTAAAATGTCGAGGACTTGAGTAAGGTAGCTGCTAAACAATTTTGGAGCAGCTCGACAAGTGAGCTATTCTAACAGTTTAAAATTTTAGGTGAGTCGGTCATTTACATCATCTAACAAAGTCAAACAAAATTTTAAATGTTTTTATTCGTTTGTTAAACTTAACGAATAAATTTCGTCTTCGTTTGTTAAGTATTCGAACTTGTTTAATTTACATAGTTTTAGCCCGATACCCTAAATAATTTAATTCATTATGGAGCATGTCTTTGTGTTCGACTCAATAACCTCATTCAAATATGGTACTTCTTCCGTCCCAAAAGAGATGTCTTATGGAAAGTTGGCTCGAGAATTAAGGAATAATAATATTTAATTGAAAGTAGATATAAAATTGAATATAAATGACTAAAATACCCTTACCTTTTGAAGGAATTTAAAGAGTATGTTAAAGTAATAATTATGGGTAATTTGGAAAAATATGAATAATTTTGTTATAAAGTGGAGACCACGATTACTAAATAAAGAAATAAGATCGGACGAAAATGGAAAAAGAAGACAACTCTTTTGGGACGGAGGAAGTATTTTATTTTATTTTACAATTAGTATATATGATACTTCGTTCGTTCGTCTTTAAGGGTCGCATTTACTTTTTGCGTTATTGTACTTAATATTAAAAATATTCTTATACTTGTATAATTTTTTGTATAAATGTCTTTCTATTAGTATTATAAGACACCGACGAAAGATTTTTACAACTTTTTCTTAATTTGTCATATGATTTGATATAATAATTAATATTAAAAAATCAACATGCAAAAGTAAATAATATACCATATATATTATAAATATATCATTAACATATATTATTTTATTTTATTTATTTATAAATTTATTTTTGTGGGTTTGTAAGATAGATTTTTGAAAACGGAGTCATTGGGCCTTTTGGTAGTGTAAGTGTCACAATTTTTTTTTCTTAATGAATATTATATAATAAAAATAATATATACTCTATATATATCATAAAAAATCAATATCCAATATAAAATATTATTTTTATATTATAAATACAATTATTTATTTTTAATATAAAAATTATTTTATCCAAAAATCAACAAAGTGAACAAAATTTATATGTTCACACAACTTTTTTTTGGTTGAAATTATTTTTAATGATTTTTTTAAATAGTAGTACAATATATATATATATGCACTCTACAATAAATAATACTCTCTCCATCCCAAAAATATAGTTTTGTTATGTTGAATACGATATTTAAGAAATATTTATATTATATTGGTAGTTGGTAAAAAGTAAGGATAAATGACTTTTTGCCCTCGTAAGTATATTAGTGTAAAAAAATAGTGACAATTGTGTAATAATAATGAAAAAGTAGGGATAGTTTTATGGTAATATGATTATTTATGAAAATGAGACTATTGTTTTGGAACAGACAAAAATAGTAAACAAGACTATTGTATTGGGACGAAGGGAGTACTTCTTTCACTCCAATAATACGAGTAACATTTTTTTTTAAAAGATTTTTATGTATTAGTATTATATCAATTTATAGTAAAAAAAGACAAAAATACTTAGGTTAGTATTGTATAATATAAAAGTTTTACATTTGTGTAATATATTGCAAGTTGTATTGATATTAAATATTAAATACTATTATTTTTTACATCGGATATAATTCTTTATACTTAATAGTAAAACTATAAATTTGAATAATTATTTGATGTAATATAAATATATTGATTTGATATTTTAAATTTAAATTTAATTTTTACTATAATATATAAAAAAAATTGTTTAATTTAATACTTTCTAAAATAAAATTACTAAAAATAAACTGTGATAAGAGTTCACAACAAAACACAAAGGTTGTGCTATTTTGTGAATTTTATCACATGTTTTTACTATTGAGACTCTATTTTCTTTTTGAAAATATCAAATCAAACAATTATTTTTCTCTTTTTATATTATACAATAAATTTATTTTACGTTCAAATATCATATTAACTTCTATTTATATCATATGAACAACTATTCAAATTCTTATAAAATCAAAACACAAAAACTAAAACCTACCAACAAACACACTTTTTTTTTTTTTTTCTTTATTAGTTACTCTCTGTTTTTACCAAAACTATATTATTATTATTATTATTATTTTTTCATGGTTATTTATTTACTTATAATTTTATTATTTTTATTTTACTAAATAATAATTAATTTCACATTTCTTTTTACATATTCCATTACTTATATCAATGTTTTAATAGTTGTTTTCTTTTTAATAATATTACCATTTTACATTTTATATATTTTATTTTAATATTAAAATATCTATTGTTGTTTTTAATCTCAATCTAATCATATTTATGTATAATAAAATATAATAAAAAATATCAAATAAAATAGTTGAAATATTTTTTGAATAATGAAAGATACTCCCTCCGTTCTTGATACGGTATCTTAGACAAGAGAATTTAGGAGAAATATAATTAAAAAATAATTAAAAATATATTAATAAAATAATTATTATTTAATAAAAATAATTTTAAATTAAAATTAAAATAACATAATTAAAATAAAAAAATTTAAATTAAACAAATTAAAATGATATTAAAATATATAATACTGTTTCAAACAAAAATAACAGAATAAGTAGAAAAAATAAAAAAATAGAGAAGAGAGTAAAAAAAATAATAAATAAATTATTAATAAATTTAATTAATAATAAAGCAGTAAAAACAACCCTAATAATAGTAATAATAGCATACAAAAGAAAGACTACCACCAGAGAGATTAATGGATAAAATAGAAGAAGTAAAAAACAATAAAATCAGTAGAAGTATAAAATTATAAATTTAAATAATATAATAAGGGTGTGTTTGTTTGGGGGTTTGGATTTTGAGTTGGGATTTGAATAGTAAAAATTTTGAATTTGAATAGTTGTATGATGTGATATAAATAGATGTTGATGTGATATTTTGAATGTAAAATTGATTTTTAGTATAATATAAAAAATAAAAAATAGGTGTTTGATTTGATGTTTTTTGGGGAAAAAAATTGGATGAATAGTAGAAATCTTATTAAATCCCCCAAACAAACACACCCTAAATTAATTAATTCGTGTCCAATTGGGCAAATTTCCTTCCGTTGCCTTCCTCCCTGGACCATGACCTCAGCCCTAATCCTAATTTCAATTCTGTTCACAGTATCCCTCTCAGCTCTGCAAACTTCACATCGTCATCTCGTCCGACGCCTCTCCGGCTCTCGTCGTCTCCTCCCTGCCGCCGCTGGTCAACCGCCAGGTAAGGCAGACCCGGCCGCAGCTTGCGGCTGTTTCTTTCTGCTTGTTTTTTTGTTAAAATCTTGATTTTGTTTTTTATTGCGTATAGTAATGTTCAATCGCGTTTCAAGCTTATGTTTATGGTTATGTTTTATGTTTACTGCTACTAGCTGCCCTACCGATTGCCCCCAAGGACTTTATCTTCTCTCTGTTAGTATACTGAAGTTATTATATTGCTTCTATATTTTACGCTGGCATAAATATTCAATTTTGTATATACAATTTAAACACAAGCCCTGTTAACATATGAGCTTGAATTATTTTTGCATCATTGCATGTGAAAATGTTGTATGCTTTCTGTTAGAATATTTTACGAAACCCAGGAAATTGCAATGTTATTCATCACCAAAATAGAAACCTATAAATAGGCATAATATACTGACTTATTAGACTCAAATAAAACAGAATATCTAAAATAATAAAAATAACAGATGCTTGTCTGTCGTTGCCGCCGCCGCTCTACGGGTAAATGATAGAAACAATGCACTCAACTGAATTAGAGTCGAAAATAACAGAACTCAAAATGGAGTCGAAAACGACATGACTCTCCTGGAGCAAAAAAAGATGACTCTCTTGAGCCCGAAAATGACGGGAGTACTCTCCACAAATTCGGAAATAATGAGACTCTCGATGCAATCAGAAATATGGCTCTGAAGAAATACAATAGACGGATCGCATAATCGCAAACAGATGCACGGACATGACTTTAAATGCAGACAAAATAAGGACTAAAGATAAAATCAAAATTAGAAAAAAGAAAAAGAAAGAGCTAGAAATTATTAAAAAAATCTCAAAATTGGAAGACCTATGGGTACATCCCAGGTTGAATTTACCCGAAGAAATGCGGGTTGGTAGGCTATATATACGGCATGAGAAAAGTAGGCTCTGATACCAGACGAAAATATTCTAACAGGCATAATATACAGACTCAATAGACTCGAATCTAAATAAAATAAGACCAAATCTACTAAATCTAAAACTAAATATCTAAAATATCTCAACACTTTCAATACGTACTGCTTACTCGTATCGAATCTTTGATAATGGTTGGACCAACTATATATGTTGTGTATGCATGTTCAACTCCCTGGAAATCAGATGTGCAGTGTGTTATTTATTTCAAACTCAATAAAAAATTTACACATTTTTATTTCTGAATTACATTTATATATTTTCAATATAGTCTGCTGTAGTTCCGGGGCCTCGCTAGGTTTGATTATGGCCTATGCTCAGTGTTGCTTGCAAAATTTTCTGTATTTGGGATTTGGGTAACAGTAATATCATATTCTTCTGTTGTTGAATTCTAGGGAAAGGGAAAGCAAGAAGAAACAAAAGCTGAATAATGACTCCATAGAATTAATTCCTGTATAAATCTTGAAATGGCTAACAGCAAGTATGAGTATGTGAAGGCATTTGAGGTGGAGGACAAAATAATGTCACCAAACTTCATTGTTGTCCGCGTGGATGGCCGTGATTTTTGCAGGTATAAGTTGATCTATACTTTATTCCTGGGTAATTTACATTACATGTCAGTCTTATATTTTTGTTTGTTTTGTTTTTTTAATAATTACTTTATGTTGGAGCAGATTTTCTGAGGTGCATCAATTTGATAAACCCAATGATATGAAAGCACTAGAGTTGATGAATGAGTGTGCAACGGCTGTTTTGGAGCATTTTCCAGACATTATATTCTCTTATGGTTACAGTGATGAGTTTAGGTACACGATTTCTTGTATTAGCAAATTATTATTTGTCCTCATTATCTAGATATTTATGGTTTGTTGCATGACTCTTTATTGTTTGTTTTCAGTTTCATCTTCAAAAAGGGCACAAAGTTTTATCGTAGGCGTGCCAGGTTTGTGTCTTTGTTGTTTTTTGTTGTGCTTGTGAGAGTTTGTTAATGAAATTTATATATCTAAGTGAGATTTGAAGGTTTCATTAGGCTATGCTTGGATTTAGATTTCGGTGCATGACATATGAGTGGTTTTATTGAATTGGCTAATTATGAATGGTGAAACAAAGCTTAAGATATTGGACTTTTTATTTTATTTTATTTTATTTATACTCAAATATAATAGAATATAGGATATGAGTGAGAGCGAGTGACACTATACTTTTGAAATATGAATTAATTTATTCTTCTTCATCAGGAGATTCCAAGTGAATGGCATTATTAATTTTCAGGATTACATAGTAGCCAAGCGTTGCGACCCTAGGTTGTCATTTTATCATGCATGATTGGAGTATGAGTTTGTAATTGGAGACAAGAAATTTATATCCGATCAAAGTTCTTGTTGTATGTGGATGCTTCCTCAAGTGAGATCCATTTACATAGCGAACCACCTATCCAAGGGTAGTTTTAATTTGATCACTAATGTTTGAATAACCAAGAGTTAGCTGAAGCAACTTGTCTCTGTTGAACACTCGGTGCTTAGAGTGTTTCGAAACATACTTATGCTATAAATTAATTTGCTTTTCCTGAGATCTACTATCTCAATTTTGTGGATTATTACTTCTTTGCTTTTATGTAGTTTTTATGTTTTATGCCATTAGTCTATGAGGTTGGAAGAATAATAGTGTCAAATTATCATTAACACTTTTTCTCTCTCATGAATGCTGACTGTGATACGATTGCAGTAAGATAAACTCCCTTATTGTATCATTCTTCACATCAGCTTATGTCACCAAATGGAAGGTGTTCTTCCCTCAAAAGGACTTGAGATATGCTCCTTCATTTCGATCGCGAGTTATTTGCTGCGCATCCATGGAGGTTCTGCAGGCATATTTTGTATGGAGACAGTATGAATGTATGTCAAATTACTTCACACGATGCAATAATACTGCATTTATTTTGTGCATTCCTATGTCTGCTACTTAAATGTTGTTGATCTTGTTTAGAGAAATTCTTTACATAAAGGAGGTTAACATCCATGAATTTGAACTCATTATCCATTTGGCAGGTCACCTAAAGAACCAGAATGATACTTGTTTTTGGCAGCTAGTTAAGAGTGGAAAGTCTGAAAGGGAAGCAGAAGAAATGCTGAAGGTCAATTCATCGAGCAAAATATTTTCTCTCTAGATGTATGCAAATTATGTTTGATCACTATCTTGATGATTTGAATCCTCGCCTAGATATTTTTGCTACATGTGAGTATACATTTGGATGTTTTGGGTATGCGGGATAGTGTGGGGTTCTGTCAAGTTAAGAGTAATGTATAATGTAAAATGTGTTTGGTTTATTCAATTGATTTGATTGATTTCATCTATTTATTATATGAAAAATATCATGTAATGATAGAATTATTGTGGTTAGAACAAGTATTTAGTGAATAAATTAAATAAGGGATACTTATTGAATAACTATTTTGTTGTTGGGTATTTTGTATTTATATAAGATAGAAAATATGTTTTATAAGCTTTGGTGGATTATGTGTGTGTATGTGCGATTAGGGGTTGAAAAAATTCATCCAAACATAGCCTCTGCCTTTTCATTTGCACTTTGTTTACATGGTTTCTGCAGCTAAAAACTTTTCATTAAGTCGTTCATTCCCTGTGGAAAGCTGAAGTCTATAAGATCATCTGATAACAAAGCCCTTTCTCTTTTTACCCTTCTGATCTGTTCAATGTCTGAAACTGAATGATATACTGGCGTTGAATCAACATTGAACTCTTATTTATTTCAAATTTGTTTCTCTTACACTTCATCTATTTTGAATTTATCATGCCTATCCACATATGTCATGGCTACATTTGATTTCTGTTTTTCAGGGATCACAGAAACAAGATAGAAATGAATTGCTTTTCCAGCTCTTTAACATTAACTACAAGAAAGACATTCCAGAAATTTTTCGCCAAGGCACATGTGCCTTCAAGACCAAGGTAGCTTTTATTATTTTTCTGTTTGTCTAGGATTCTCTTTCTTGGTGCATATTTATGTCTTTGCTTCTGACATTGTGTAAAGTGCCAACTGTTTTTACTATCTGAAACATGGTTTGGATGTCGGATCTGCTGATTGGCAAGCATGCTGACAGCTGACTTCAGGCTTAATTTTATGTATAAGCTGATTGATATGGTTGGCCAGTTTTCAGTGCAATATCAACTAATTGAATTTTTATATCCTATGTGATTACTAGGTTGAAGATATCGTGAAGTACAAGGATGATGGTTGTCCAGTGAAAAGACCAAGGATGAAGGTCATAAAAGTTCATTCAGAAAACATTGCATCAAAGAGGTTTTGGAATGACCATTTGTGTCTTTTGAAGGAGTTGGGTCAAGTTACTGAAGATTTAAACAAGAGCAAACCTGATTATGATGATTATGTTGAGTCATTTCTACACGAGGGCAAATTGATGCCGTCTACTTGGATTGTCATACGTGTTGATGGTTGCCATTTTCATAGGTAAGCACGGTTCTATAATTTTCTTCACAAGTGCTTTCAATGGTGTACTTGATGTTGCATTTCAGATGAACTCATGCTCGTGTCTTTAAAAATGCTTTTCAATATGATTAGCTTATTTGGGCTAGGAATTACATTATCTTTCAAACTTAATGCTTGAAACGATTCAACTTATTTAGATTTGTTACTTTTAGGAGTTAAGTCGTGAATAAATTGGAGGCAAAAGTTGTAAGCAGTCTGGAGTCAGAGTGTAGTAACAGACTGTTGAGATAATTTTAATTATTCTTTTTGCTGCTCTGTATTTATCAAGTTTGGCATTGTATGCTGTGACTGATATATTGTCTTTCATCTACTTATACATCTGATAACAGTAGCTTCAGTTATATTTGTGTAATAATGAACTGAGGTGTATAATGCAGCAATGGATTAGGGGGTTTTGCATTGCTTAGAGATATGGGGAGGGTGGATTTTGCTTATGATATGTAGCATAATGGCTCAGGAGTGGGATCTTTGTGAAAATTTTGCCCTCTTGGCTCTGTCGTTAAGACATATTTATATACTGTTCGAGTGTTATTTATTTATTTTCACATTCTCAATGAGACCATGCTGACCAAAATAATCCGTTATACAGAGAAGCCTGTAATTTTGAGGATTAGAGTAAAAGCTAATTCAGTTATTACTTCTGTTTGGTGTTATGATAGATTTTCTGTTGTCCATGAGTTTGAGAAGCCAAATGATCTACGAGCTCTCGACCTGATGAATGCCTGTGCAGCCAGTGTACTAGAAGAGTTCAAGGATATTGTCTTTGCTTATGGGGTTAGTGATGAGTACAGGTAATACATCAACTTTCGCCTATTGCTACTTCACTTGCATTAAACTTTCATGTTAGGCTTGATAATTTCGGTGTACTTTCAGCTTTGTTTTGAGGAAAGAATCTCAGCTCTATGGAAGACGTGCAAGGTATCCATTTTATGCTTCTGTAACTTCTAAAAGTTGATAATGGGTATTTGTGATGTAACTAATCAGATTTGCATGGTCTATTGGATGTAACAACCAAATTTATTTTATCGTGATTGGAAATTTCAAGAATGTATAATTTATTGTTGCCTCGTGTCTCTGTTCAATTATATATCCACCTCTGATTTCTTCATTCTATTACATTGCAGCAAATTAGTTTCTGCAGTTGTATCTTTGTTCTCGTCACTGTACTCTATGAAGTGGATTGACTTTTTCCCACATAGTATGATGAAGTACCCACCATATTTTGATGGTCGTGCTGTTTGCTATCCATCCCGTAAGATTCTTCGAGACTATCTAGCATGGAGACAAGTTGATTGTGAGTTAGAATTAATTTTTGTTTTCTTCAGGGCCTCACTTCTCTTAACTTTTAATTGGATCGAAGAGCCCATACTCTCGGTAGGGAAAAACAATCATCTATTACCTAAGAAAATTTAACTTTCATAATATTTGCATTTTCGCAGGCCATATTAACAATCAATACAATACTTGTTTCTGGATGCTAGTGAAGTCTGGAAAAAGCACGAGTGAAGCACAAAATTGCTTGAAGGTGGGATCCTTTTTTATGGTTTAAGTTACTGTAGCAGCACGGACCTCTTGTGTATTCATGCTTGGCTGAACATGAGTCATTTTTAACTTACGTCGTTCTGTTTTCACACCTTGTTTTTAATAAGAGACATAATGATTTGTCTCTCTTTTGATCTTTCTTATGAGAAAAAAAATAATAAATAAAACATTGTTCCCTAGAATGTAGTGTTAGTTTTCAGAATTTTCTACTGATTATTAGTCTTTCACTCATATCTGCTCCTTTATAGGGTACTCAAGCCCATGACAAAAATGAACTTCTGGATAAGCAGTCGGGTACTCTCAATTATTATAACACGATGCCAACCATATCTCGCCGTGGATCATGTGTTTATTGGGACAAGGTCACATCCTACTCTCTCTCCCTCTCTTTATCACACACACACACACACTAATGATTTGTCCTTGAAGTATATTATCTGGCAGTTTTCTGTGACTATATGATTCTTTAAGTTCGCCCTCTTGACATACTCTTATTGCTTGCTGTCTTGTTTCTACTTAAAGAGATTGAGTTGATTTTCTGTATTTTTATTGATTCAAGGCCGTGTAACAAGTGAGTTGCTAAAGTGTAAACTTGAGAAGAGTTTTGTGCTAACCGGATTGAGTTCTGCTTAGAGTGTAGTTGGCTTTAGCCCACTAAAGTGAATGAATTATTACATAATTAAGTAGATCTTATAACTAATGATTTTTACTTAGATTTTAATGGGTTTGATTAGGCCTTAATTGTTTTGATTATTTTAAACGAATGAATAATTAGTTACTTAAACATAAAATATGGAGGATAAATGCATATCTTTATTATTAATTATATATGTAATCGTGCCAGCTTATGAGCTAACTGTTTCTTTGCTTTAGTTATTCTTTGGCTCGAACTGCTTGTGAGTGGATATGTTTACAGCTCTATTAATGGGTCCTAGACTGTTTGTTTTATGAAGGCCAAGAATGTTAGGGTGTGTTTTAGTTCTTGTTTTCCCATGATGCAATCTAACGTTACCTCCAAAATTTATTTTCAAATGACAAATTTTCAAAGCCAAACACACCCGGAAGTGTTCACAACTGTTGTACAACTAGTGTTGTCTGCCTATTTAAAGGGTTTGGCAATTAGGTTTCTCATCTTTTCTAGTTTATTCAATAGCTCTTAGTTAAACAATTAATTAAAGTATTTGATAGATGAGCTTTTTGATCAGAAAAAGTACTGATAAAACATAAATGTGTGGAGATTCATGTCATTGAACTCATCTGATTATTAAATCAATGTTTGCAGGAGACAAAAGCTGTGGAAAATAATGAAGGTGCCGCTGGAAAATCGCGCAAGATAGTTGTAATCAAGCATTGTAATATAATTGATATGAGCTTTTGGGAAGATCATCCTGAAATACTTGGGTAGCGAACTGGTATGCTTTTTTTGTTTTTGTTTTTTCAGTTTTAAATCTTTCGATGACATGCATAAATGTCTCCCTATGTGCTGATTTTATATGGATGATGGAAAATCATATTTGCCAGTGCAGAATAAAATAAGATTTGGCTAGATTTACATGCTTCCATATTCTTACTTCTTAGTTTCCTTGAAGATTACGGTGTTTTTGAAGTAACTGGTTTTCTTGATAGACGACTTTAAGTTTGTGTTTGCCGCAGGCTCTGCCAATATGATGAAAAATGTGCTTTCCTGTTCAAAGTCAAATTCACTTTGCATCTAGTTCGACACAACTATATTGTTTAATTGGGGATGCGCTTTTGTGTTAAAAAAATGTCTGGAACTGAACTATTGAAAAGGTTGCCTGAAATCAAGCTTCACAAGATATATATATATATCTTGATATTGCATTTGGAAAGATGACATTTGGTCCATTAGATGCCTGAATGCATGAACAAAATAGAATTAATCGCCTGAGGAGTTTACGTCGATAATAAGGGCTTGGAACATGTGCTGATTTTATTTTGGGAGTATGGTGTAATCACATAAGAAATTTACAGAAACATGTTGAACCAGATTTTTTTGGTTGTGGTTTGAAATTAATTGAAATGAGGTTTCGATTTGAGTTTTTGTTTAATTAATATTTTGATGTTATGTTTTATGAGAAAAAAATAGTGCATTTTTATTTGAAACCGGAGTGAATAGTGGTTGAAATCACAACCAAACACAGTGCTGAGCTATTGAATCTATTGTATATATGTCGAACTGCAATTTATTTTATTTTTTCATTATGGTATATATATGGTTTAAATGTCAAATGATAAAAAGATTTGTTGAACCACAGACTGGATTGACTTGTTCTTTCCAGCATTGTGAACTAACATGCAATTTATTTTACTTTGCCATCTTGCCTAATTGATCCTAACTTTCAAGTGATGAAATTTTCAGAATTCGCGCTGTTCGACCGTCCCGGAAATGCCGATAAATTAGGCCTGCAATTGTAGTCTTTTGCTGGGAGATATGCCTCCAAGTTACATTACATTCCTGTAGATTTTCCAACACAGAATATGACAGGCGTTCAGACGGCCAACACGGCCGTGTTGATTATCCTGCACTTCTGGACACGGCAGTGTCTCTGCCCTTGTTCTGTGAGAACATAGCTATGTTCTAGGCTATGTTCCTGTCTATGTTGTCAACACAATCATGTTCTAGGTCATGTTCACGATCATGTTCATATTCTAAGTCATATTTATTATTATTTTCACGGTTAAAATTATTTGATATATATATTTATAGTTCTAACAAAAATATTTTTTACAATTATTTTATAATGTAAAAAATAATAAATTTTTAATATTTTAAAAAAATATAAAAATAATAATGTATTAATATATTTTTTAATAATACTTCTTCCGTCTCATTTACTATGTCCGTATTGCTATTTATGTCTGTTCCATGTGAATTACACACTATTTTTTTAATTTAATTTTTTTTAATTTTAATTAAACTAATGAGTTATCTTAATCTTAATTTATAATTATATTAAGATTAAAATTAAGATAACTCATTAGTTTAATTATAAAAAAATTAAATTAAAAAAATAGTGTGTAATTATTTTCCAAAAAAATGAAAGTGACATGTGATGTGGGACAGACATAAACGGCAATATGGACATAGTAAATGGGACGGAGGGAGTATTATTAAAAAATATATTAATATATTATTATTTTTATATATTTTTAAAATATTAAAAATTTATTATTTTTTATATTGTAAAAAATATTTTTATTGAATTATAAATATATATATCAAATAATTTTAACCAAAAAATAAAAATAATAATAAATATGACTTACAATATGATTATATTGAAAACATGGTCGTGAACATGTCTGCGTTGAGAACATGGGCAGGAACATGAACCTGCCCGTGTTCTCATAAGTGCAGGGTAATAACACGGCGTGTTGGCTGCCTGGGACGCCCTGCCACCTTCTGAGTCATCCAACACGGCCATGTTCAGTCACAGTCAACCAATTTGGTACTAAAATTAATAAATTTTCATTTGAGTGAGACCAAAATTGATAATTTTTTTTGAATAAAACCAAAATTAATAATTATGATATTGAATGGGACAAAAAATGATTTTTACTCTCTTGTTTTTCGGATGCGAAGAGTTGTTCATATGTTGATGAGCCATGTCAGAGAGGGGCGGGAGTTTATGATTTATTTATATATTATAAATATTTTATAGAAATTTGTACTGATAAATGGCACCAGTGGTCTAGTGGTAGAATAGTACCCTGCCACGGTACAGACCCGGGTTCGATTCCCGGCTGGTGCATTTATTTTTTATTTTTCTATAAAATTTCTATACCAAAATATATAAAAATAAATATTATATTTCCTTCATCCTTATTTATTTACCTTTTTTTATATAAATGTAAAAAATAATATTTTATTAATAGTAAAAATATATAAAATAATTTTATTATTTTTATCTTTAATAATAATAAAAATATTTAACTATAATTAAAAACAAAATTTATTTTAATAAGATTAATAAAAGTAATAACAAATTGAGACCAAGTATACGATATATATATATATATATATACTTCCTATCACAAAAGGAGTTATAAATAAAATTTAAAAAATAATACATTCCACTAAAACATAAAAAGGTGAACACACACAAACAAAAAACAAAACAAATAATCACGTAGTAGTATTTTTGCATGCTCAAGGAATCGAACACGTGTCTCAAAAAGCCCCGCGTGTCACAATTCCCTTTCTCTATAAAACTTCACCTCCGCCGCTCATTTTATTTATTAATTAAAAATTAAACAATAAATCATTCTGCATCATCTTCTCCGACAGCCATGGCCGCCGCCGCCGAGCCGCGCTACCAGCACCGCGCCACCGCCGCCGACGGGTACAACTACAAGAGCCAGCCGTCGCCTTCCTCCGCCTTCCAAATCCTCGCCGTCGTGACGCTCTTCCCCGTCGGCGCCGTCCTCCTCTTTCTGTCCGGCCTGACCCTCGCCGGAACCCTAATTGGGCTGGCCCTAACCACCCCGCTCTTCATCGTCTTCAGCCCGATCCTTGTCCCCGCCGCCCTGGCCCTGGCGGCGGCGGTGGCCGGAATCCTGACGTCCGGCGCGTTCGGATTGATGGCGCTGTCGTCGGTGTCGTGGCTGCTGAACTACTTGAGGCAGATGCGGCGAAGCTTGCCGGAGCAGCTGGAGCAGGCCAGGTGGCGCGTGCAGGACGCGGCGGAGCACGTGGGCCAGAAGGCGCGTGAGGTTGTACATGAAACGCAGGATGTTATCAGACCTTCAGCTTAAGCCGTCTGCTTCCATATTGTTATTATTATTATTATTATTATTATTATGGACTCTTTTTTTTTTTTTTTTTTTTTTTTTATAATCTTATAATATTGTATTTTTTATTTTAATTAAAAAGTAATGTATATATATATATATTTTTTTTTTATTGCTTAAAAGTCCCGATCTTGAATATTAAGGGTATGTATCTTTAGGAGAGTTTGGAGGGAGAGTTTGGGGTGTGTTGTGTTTGAGTTTGATTTTTATTTGACTTTTAGAATAAATTTGGATTTTATTGTTTTTTTTTTTTCTTTGGTTGAGATTTGGGAAATTTTGATGTGTATTGATTTTGATGGATAATAATAAAATAATATAATTGTGTATTAAATTTAATTGATAAAATTTATAGTGTATGAATTTATATTATATTTAATATATATATTTAAATTTTTATTTATTTATATTATAGAAAATTTTATACTCCAATAATATATTGTATATATATATTTTTCATTTAATTATAATAAATATTAAATAATATTTTAATTTTTTTAGAAAAAAAAAAAAAAAGGGGGTTGGCGCCCAATTTACTGCAGTAAATTGGGGCCAAACCCTTGAAGAAACATACCCTACTCTAGTTTTGAAATAATCGATGTATTATATTATATAACACTGCATAAAGGTGAATTTTAGAATTAGTGGATTTTAATTGGTCCATAAGAATGGAGCTTATTGATTTATAGATATAATATTTGAATTAGTGAATTTTAGTAAATTAATAATATTGAGTTATATGATGTTATTTTATTGTTCTCTTTTTAATGTAAAAATTAAAGTTTTTTTATATATTTATTATTTTTATGTAAATATTTATTTAATTTTAAAATAAAAATTAATTATTAATATTTTTTAAAGAATTTTTTTATATAATATATAAATAAATAAAATTATTTTTTATAATAAATTTAAATTAATTTTTATAAAAAATATAATTAAAAAATAAAAATTGAAAGCTCCGAATACAAGAGAGGCCCATTTTGGCATCCATCACAAATGGGGGAACTTTACCTAAACATCGTGCGATAAAGTTTTCCTTCCATGTATATAACCTCTAGACTGTTGAACTATGAGTGTCTATCATCTTCATTAATAACAATCCACTTTGTTTTCGTCAGGTGTGTTTGCTTTGTTTGGGAGTTTGAATTTTGAATTAAAATTTGAATAGTAAAAATTTTAAATTTGAATAATTATATGAGGTGTTATAAATAAATATTAATATGATATTTTGAATGTAAAATTAATTTTTAGTATAATATAAAAAATAAAAAATAAGTGTTTAATTTAATATTTTTCCCTAAAAAAAATTCGATGAATAATGAAATTAAAATCCAATTCCCAAACAAACACACCCTTAAGTAAGCATTAAAAAGTAAAGAACAAAAATTATTATTTAGTCTTATTCAATATCATAATTACGATATTATGAACGATGATTAGATTAGAATTGATTAGAATTAAATACGGCCGTGATCGTACACGACCAGAGTCATCCTAAATAACCAACATGATTGTGTTGGTCGGATCGTATTGATTACCCAGAACTGAACATGGATGCATTTTTATGTACAAAGGTAACTGTGGTAGCCGATTGTCCGTACATGCATTCCACTTCATTACCAACACATAACTAGCTTAGCTCCATACAGTATAATAAATACATCAACTGAACTTAAATCATAATTATCCATTAATTAGCTGCTGCTGGCTGAGGATGACGTGGATCCACTCCAACATCCTTCAACGTCTCCACTCTCCTCCCCCTCCATTCCAATCCAATTAAAATTAATTAATTATTTATTTATTAATTCACCAATATAATAATATTATTATTATTATTTTTATATATATTATTTATTTTAAATATCTATAAAATTAAATAAAAATAACACTGCATCTTTTTAGAAGATCTTTCCGCCTCTAAAAATTTTGTTTAAATTTTTTAATATTAATTATTTAAAATACAGTACAAATTAAAAATTATTGTAAAATTATTTTCATCAATAATACGGATAGAAGACCCGTAAAATAAAAAACTAAAATAACCAAATAATATTGTAAATTATAAAAATAATTTTAATGTCGATAGAAATAAAGTTTTTAAAAAAAATTGAAAAAAATTGATACTCTTTTACGGTATGAATCAAAGATAAATTGTTGAAAAAGCTAAAAGAATACAACAAAAACTATTTGTAATAAAAATAAATATTATAAATTCATAATTATAGCGTGTATTATACGAGATATACTGATAAATTATGGGTGTGCATATATAGATACCTGGCATATACGTCGCCACGGATAGGATCGGACATGACTTCCTGGCGGTCGGCGTCCTGAATGTGCGCAACCTTCCGGAAGAACGACCCGCGGAGGAACTTCTCGGCGTCCTCCGCCACCGCCTCCGGCGCCACCACCTCCGGGATCGTCTCCCGCCGCGACTTCTTCACCGCTACGTTCGGCGCCCGCCCCAGCTGGTGCGCCGCCGTGTAGACCCCGAACCCCGCCGACACCACGATCATCCCCACCGCCACGCACACCGGCACCAAATCCCCCTTCGGCAACCTGCCGCCGCCGCCGGAATCTCCATTTTTAATCAATTAAACTTCCAAAAATTAAAATTAAAAAAAAAAAAAAAAATGATGCGTACTTGGATTTAATCCCTCCCGGCGGACGGTTGAGCTGCTCTTCTGCGGCGGCGGCGTAGGGCTTCGATTTGGGGGACGTCCACGTGGCGAAATTTGAGGCGCCTTGAAGCTGTTTCGCCATTGATTTCCAGTACGCCTGAAAAAAAATTGGAAAACGAATTCAAAGATAAGATCAGATAAGATTGGGAAACTTTCGATTAATTGATTAGAGAATGGGAAAGAAAATTGGATGGGATTGAATAGTGCTTACTGGTTTATTAATTAATCTGAAAGCAGCCATGGTTAGGGTTTTTGGTAATTGCGAGCTTCTGAGATTTATATACAGTCTTTGGGGGAAAGATGATTCTAGGAGAAGGTGGATACGTCAGGGGAGGGGACACGTGTCATTGATTTAGAGGTAGAGTGTCAGCATGGAAGCCTCTTGAAGCAACACGTTGGTTCCAAGCTTCCAGCATTTTGAGTACATTTTTCAAAAAATTAAGTTTTCATTCAATATTTTATTTTTAAATAAAATAAAAAATTTATTTTAAGTTTTATAGTAGAATCATTTTTAAAATTAAATTTATGATAAATTTATCTGTACGGTTATTTTAATTTATTTAAATGATAATAAAATTTTTATAAAAATAATTGTTATAACAATAAATTAAAATAAATAATTTTACAAACTTCAAATGAATATATAATAATATAAATTATAATTATATATTTAAAATAAAATATATAATATAATTAAAATAATATAATATTAAAATAACAATTTAATTTATTATGAACAATAGTAATTAAAAAAATTTATAAAATTTTAGATGTGTTTAGAATTTTTATTATGATAATAGTAAGCTATTTATTTATTAATATATAAAATAAGCTAAAAATAATAATTGTGAATATATATTTAAAATATTTAATTTTAAAAAATATACAGTACTTCTTTTCTATAGATTATACAAAAATATTGTTTATATAACATGAATTTGTTTAATTTCTTTTAATAGTAAATACTAATAGTTTTATTTGAATATAAAATAAAATAAAATACATACTTACAAATTAAATATGAAAAAAAAAATATATCTATTATAAAATGTAATATGAAAATAAAAATATTATTTATATACATAATAACAACTTCTTTTATTAATGATAAAATCAATTCTCCAACAATGTGATAACTTAATTAGATAACAAAATTGTAACTCTCCTACTAAAAAATGCAACTCTCTGATGTAAAAAAAGGTAAAAAAATAAAATAAAATATACCTTAATATAAATTATAATCAATTGCGAATAAAAAATTAAATTACATTTAAATAATTTTTATATATTACAAATTTAAAAAATCAAACTCTATACTTTACGTTCTGTCCAAAAAAACGCAACAAAATAAACAATTTAGTAAATAAGAAAGAAAAATATAAAAAATATAAAAAAAAATATGTAAAAAAATATAATCAATAAAAAAAAATAACAAACCAGTGAAAATGAAATAAGAAAAATTATTAGAAAAATAGAATACAAAATAACAATAAGAAATTATTCCGAAAATCTTCTCCGACTGCGTTGAATATAAAAACACGAGTAAAAAGAACTTGTTTTATTTTGTAGAGTTTACCACAAAATTTTTACATTTTTTTTTCTAAAAAAATATTACATCCAACAATTAATTTTCTTTTATATTATATTATAAATTTATTTTACATTCAAAACATCACATCAATCTCTACATTACACGTCAAACAATTATTCAAATTTAACTTTTTACTATTCAAAAATCCAAATTAAAAAACTAAAACCTACAAAAAAAACACCCCTTCAGTTTTTGTTTAAGAGTTTGAATTTTAATATTTATATTATAAATAAGTGTTAGATATATTATTTTTAATATAATATAAAAAAAATATGTAATTGATTTGATAATTAAAAAAAAATCCTAAAAAAACCACAAACAAACACAACATAAACTATTTGACACCTTTTGTTTGTATTTATGAACATGTTTATGGGTTTGACAATTGAATTTGGAGTTTTAACTATTAAAATGTTGAATTTAAATAACTATTATGATATTGATCAACATCTTGTTCATTTGCCAATAAATGATATATAAATCCACAGTATACATATATTAATATAACGCAAATATATAATATAAACTGACAGGACCGTAATAGTCCCTACAATACATACTACCATTGATCTCATCACAATGCATTTAATAAACACAAATGCATAGCAAATATTGACAAGCATACGATAATAATCCACACAAGATATATACAGACCGGTTCTCTAGTGCTGATAAGAGTTCTATTTCCTTTTTGACGTGTTATATTTGATCATTACGTACTACAAATTAAAAAAAAAAAAAAAAAATTGCAAAAATATAAATATGACCCTTAGAGGCGGACAAAATGTGTATTAATCACCGGTGGTGCTGACATAACATGAAAGATAAATAGACCACACATAATATATACTAATAACAATGAAAACGCAACGTCTATCACGCATGGTTCATCTAATGTAACTTGTCTTATTAGACCTAGTTTGCAGGTTATTAGATTCAGCCGATTGCTTACCTTGAGCACAAACCGAAGAGTACTGACTGCAACTTCCCACGTTATCAAGAAAAGAAAATAATAACAAAAAAGAAAATAATACAAATGCAACATATGAATAAAGAACCCGTGACAGTAGTTCAATCATATGTACTGTAAGCACAATATTGATTACTGATTATTTTAGTTCAGCACTCTAACCAAGCATATATATATATATATAGAGAGAGAGAGAGAGAGAGAGAGATGTTTGTTAGTAAACTTACTGACGTTAGGAGCCCTGCAGACTTACGGCGTCCGAAAAAGAATGTCCTGAAGAAGATGAGGCAACAAAACAAAGAAAACAACGTGTGATATATAAATAATAATATGGCAAAAATTGGTACCTAATCTCAGTTCCTTCCGCAGACATTATATGGCGACCTTATGCAGCAGCAGCAGCAGCAATGGTATACAACAATTACCACCTACCATCTGTATGTAATGTAATACTCAACATAGACCAACACAGAGAGAGTCACAGATTCATATATATATATATAATGCATGCAGTAGTCGTCAGTCAGAGTCGATCAATCCGGCCGAGGATAAACTCGGACCATCACTCCCAACGGCGTCGTCGTCTGGGGCGATGGAAACCTAAGGTACAACCAACCCACAAGAATAGTTCCACACAAAAATTTATTTATCATCATCATCATTTTTGTCGTCGTCATCGTCGCCACCGTCAGATTGTAGCAGGAAAGTCGAAGAGAGGAGCACAGCCTAGTCGAGATCTAGACTCTTTTTCATCGCCTCGTAGACCATATACGTGATGCTTGCTGCCGGTACAACTTTCAGAAGATTCGGTAAAAGCCCTTTATAGAACCCCCCGATACCTTCGACCAGATATGTTCTCCGGAATACACCTGACATCGTACTGTGCGCACGCTCAGCTTGCATTCTGGAACGGCATTAGACAAGTTAGTATGGCTCACTTCACGCCTTCATGTCACTTTTGGCACTATTATACATCGACAATAATTTTTTCAAAAAATATCATAGGTAAAATTGCTCGTAACTTCCTTATGATTTCGAAACTCAATGTATATCTCTATTTTACTTTAGAAATTGTATGACATTCTCTTATACTTTTAAAAATGTTGCATGAAACCAAGGGAAATTTCATGATGATGGAGTTTCATACAACGTTTTTTTAAAGTATAAGAGGGTGCTATACAATTTTTAAAATACAAAGAGATTTTACGCTGATTTCAAAATCACGGGGGAGTTATGAGCAATTTCACCAGTTTCATATTGAATACTTATTTTTCACTTGAAATATTACAGGTTTATTCACCCAACAAAACATATTTAATATGCTTTCCGATCAATATTACAAAAAAATTAGAATATATACATACACTCACACAATGTATATAATATATATACTCTACACATTCATAAAAAAATAACAATTCAACAAAAAATATGTATTTTTTATATTATCTACACGCTTCTCCGTATCTAACATAAAATACATCATAAACTAAATACACAATACAAACACACTCTAACATCTAAGACCTCTTTTTCTATACAGAATACTTCGTTTAATATTTATTTACATTACATTAAATAACTACTACATCCGTCCGTCTGCAAGAGTTACATTTACTTTTTGTGTCATTGTATTAACATTCAAAATATCCTTATATTTGTATATTTTTTTATAGAATTGTCATTATATTAGTATTATAAGACACTAATAAAAATGTTTGTCATTTTTTCATGATTTGTACTACATTGTGATATAATAATCAATATTCAAAAATCAACACGCAAAAAGCAAAGGTAAATGTAACTCTTGTTACCGAACAGAGGTAGTATTTTTTATTCAACTTTTTACTATTTCTGAACCTCTCCAGAGATGCAAAACATATCTAAACACAACCTATATATGTCGAGTGTTCACTATAGCGACATTCTTTTCGAGAATACGATGAAGGCATGTATGTATGTACGCATTACCTTGTTCTTACCACTTGCAGTGGATAAACGCACGTCGCTCCAAGGGCTCCCGAAATTGTCCCACAACTTAGTTGTACAAGAGGACCGGGCTCTGCACAATGTCCAACTATTTATAAATATGGAAATGCAAACAAGGCAAGAGATTAAAGTCAAATTATTCAAAAATGTTACCATCATCATGAAGAATATATTTTCTGGACATATCTTTCAAGGTTTCATAGGCAGCTAGGTCAATGCCGGCGTATGGAATCATTCCAAGAAGTGACGGTATCAGCCCTTTATAAAGTGCCCGAGGACCCTCTTGGACCAAGATATCCTTCGACAATTTTCCCAGACTTGGAACATTCCCTCTTTCGCATACAAAAGTTTGCAACCGAGTTTTGACGAGGTCCATCGGATAAATAGATGTCTGTGCCACGGCTCCGGCTAATCCGCCGGCAGCCAGTCGGCCAAACGGACCTATATCCCCATTCGGTTCGCCAATTACACTTTTCAGCAGCTCGTAAGTGTAGAACTTTATGGCAGTTTCCGGTGCAACCTTCACAACATTTATTCCATTGCCTCGGAAGAAACTTATAATCCCGCCTTCTCGCCATATCTTTTGAACTGCAGGACCAATCGAAGCCCTTGCAGTCTGAACTTGCAACAGGACCTTAAGGCGATCGAGAGGTGCAGTTGCAGTACGAGAAGCAGCCCCGGCAACGCCTCCAGCGATTAAATATTTCGTGGCGTTAACATGCTTGCTGATGCCTGCAGGAATCACGGCGTGTTCGCCAATATCTACAAGGTACACCCTTTCCCAGTACCGGTAGATGTTCTCCATTGTAGCCTCGTGTGGATAAAGTAGCAGAAAATCTCTCCACTCTTCGAAAGTAATAATTCCGTTGTTGTCTTTATCAACATGCTCGACGAAACTAGCAAGTTCATCATCATTAAGTTCTATCCCTACAAAATAAGAACTGCCATGACTTATAAGATGAAAATAAATGGAAATCCGAACTCATGAATGATACATAACATACATTAACTGGAAGAGAAGAATCAGCATTGCAAGCATATACAGATTTTAGACTTCTAAGACCATATTAATTTGAGGAAATCAGATTTTGGTTTCAATTGAATCGTAGAAATCGGAATGCTATATCACAGAATTCCTGCATCTCTACAGCACATCGCATTCCATTATTTAAGCATCACACAACATTATACAAATAATAGAATTAAATAACACCAAAGTAACACCAGGAAAAATAGACTTACATCGCACATATTGAAGAAATCATACGGGAAAATGTCAAATATATACATATATATATGTATTGAGGAAACTTATCAGAAGAAACAAAAGGAATGGAATATCCCAAAATACTTACCAATAGCTTTAAAAAATAATGGAAAGTAAGAATATGGAATAAAGAAAAGGGGGAAGACACGTGGGTTTGTTTGGTTTTGGTTTTAAAACCAAACTTTCACTACTCATCTGGCCGGTTCTCAATAACAATACATTATGTCCTCTCACAAAACATCACATCAAAATACTATTTAAACCAAAATTCAAATCAAAAACCCAATTTTAAACCTAAACCAAACACACACCTTTGGTGATTGCAGACACCATAAACAAGAATTATTATGAGTTTATGACAAAAAGATACCGTAAGAAATGAAGCTAATTCGAAATGATAATGTTTAAAACAAAACATAAGAACAAATCAACACTAATCTAAAAGATCTTGGATCAACCTCGTGAAATAAATATTCCCGCACATAAGAATTGTTAAAATTATGTCTACAAGTCATCAAAACTCTGCCAACGACTTAAATCACAAGGCAATTTCCGGAGAATCTTTCACAACAATATTATCATCCATTTAATTTCTCCCTTAAACAAACCTAATGTTTAGAAAAATAAAAAATAAAATTACACCATTACCCATCTAGATGCACCTCATCTCACAATACTCAGTCACTCCTTTCATTCGATTACACGTCTCTCCTCATATAAGATCCAATCAGCACAAAACAAACACAACAAGAAATCCAAGAAACAAAATTAAACAAATTTCTTCAATTTTAAATCCAAGGGATGAACCCCATTCTCCAATACTCATCTACAATCAATAAGAATCAAAAAAACACTTCAGCTAACAAACTAAATATCCAAAAGTAACAAACATGTATTCCAAACTGTACTATGAGATCATCATCAGACTGAAAATATTGTGCCTTCTAGAGCAACATCAAGTTCTGCATTCTCAAGTTACCGAAAATCTTCCAAAACATTACAGCAAATCATCAAAACTATACATACTGCTTCTATACCAATGAACAAAATCCAAAAGTAGTAAGCAGACGAACCAAAGAAATCTAACATAATTTCAATGAAATTCACCAAAAAAAAAAAAAAAAAAACAATCACAAGAACAACAAATCCCTAATTTAGAAATTACACACTGTGAACATACCAGCCTTGACAAGAGCATCCCACAGCTCCTCAGGCAAAATACATCCATTGTGCTCAACATCAATCGCCTGAAAAATCCTATACAATTCCAGCTCCTTGTCATCCATATACTTCCTAAACTCCTGGTAATCAACCCTACCGTCCTGATTCGAATCGCAGACTTCCAACAGCTCCTTCGCGAACTTGTAATCCGCCGGAATTTGCATTGCCGAAAGCCCCCTCTCAATCTGAGCCGAATCCAAATACCCTACATTATTAGAGTCGAAGAAACTGAACAAACCCCGAAACCTCGATTCACGCTCTTCCTTCGTCTCCCGCAGGGCGGAGAGGACATGGTCCAGCGACACCTGACCCGATTTCTTAACCGGTCCGGCCTTCGGGTCCTTCGCTTCCGACGCCATTGCTGCAGCGGCCGGCGCCGGAAAATTCGCATGCCTCTCCACTCCGGTAGACATAAACGCCGATTAGCAAAAAAAATCAAAGAAATTTCGGGTCAAAAGAAAATCGGGATTTCTCTTCACCACATACTTGGGAAACAAAAACCTTCCCCTGATCTGAATCGAGTAGCTGCGAGAATCGGATGATCAGGCTGTATGAGGGAGAGGGAAAACGGAATATTTTGAGGGGATCTTCGCTAGCCTACCAGTGGAAGATCCGACAAGACGACCCGAATTATTATCTGGATCCTCTACCCTTTTTCCTTAATTAGTCTAAAGTTGCTAATGCTATAAAAAGCGTGTTGTACCCTCTGACAGCATAACCACGACTTTAGCGACACGCCAGTACATTATTAAAACGTGTCGTTTTTGTGATAATGAATCAACGCTTTTAATTTTTATTATTAGAAATTGTACTATAATTAGTAGTTAAAAATAATAATATATATATTTTTTTTTATTTTACTTGTCTACTAATACAACCCATTTTAATAAAATACCTATACATTAATATATGTTTACGTATGTCATTAAATTATTTTTTCCCATTAAAAAATATTTATTTATTTTTTCAATATCATTTTATCTTCATTTATATAATTTAAACATGTAATAGTAATAAATTTACGTATAAAAAATTATATATCTTCTTTCTTTCGTTACCAAAGAAATATATTGTTTTTTTAATAAAATATTAAACAATAATAAAATTAGTTTTTTTATTTATTTATTTATTGCATTATTATTAAATAAATAAATAGTAGTTTGTAGATTGGTTTAGGTTTCGTATTTAATAAATAATAATGCATGAGATATTTTATATTGGTTTTTGTGGTGAGATGTGAGCCACTGATTATGACCCCAATCCCTATAGGTCCCATTCACTGCTGGTTCATCTCCCACCATACACGTGGACGTCAATTATTGTTTCTATTTTTAAAAAAGTGTAGTTTTATTTTATGATATATATATATATTTATTTAAGGTGTGTTTTTATTATTATTATTATTATTATTTTTGGATATTTTATTACATGAATTGGTGATTGAATGTATTACAATAGTTGAATGCTCTGTTTATATAAAAGTTTTAGTTTTGTAAAGTTTAAAATTTGATAATTATATTTACTATCTACTCCCATGAATGTATTCTTATTAAATATAATAGTTTAGGGGTAATAAATAATAATAATAAATATGTTTGGTAGCTTGTATATGATTTTAATGCAGAAGTGTCGGCAAATTTGCAATCGTTATTTTTCGAAATGTAACGAAATAAGTTACAAAAAAAAAACAAATTATACATACAAAGCATGTAAGACTTGAAATACGATCAAGAATTCACCTTAGACGCCACTTTTAGGATATTGAGTTGATCGAATAAATCATTGAAATCTTGGGCCATTGTGGGCCAAACAAGTTATTGGGCTCCCTCCAATTTTCTTTACTTATGGGCCTCACATTTCAATTTTATATTTAAATAATATTTTTTATGAGAAAAAAAAAAAGAAAATTAAAAAAAATGCATAATCAAATAAAAAAAAATTTTGAGAAGATTTTCTCAAAAAAAATTTCTCCCACTAGCATCATTTTATTTCACCCATGTAGTGTACTTAAAAAGCAACTTCAACAACTTTATTAAAGACACGCTTCTCTTCATTTTCCAAGCACGCTTCAAAATCTAACACATGCAACGGCCTCAACCCTAAACCAGCCTCCCTTTATATATTTAGGAAATGATAGCTATGTGGGAGTTGGGCTTATGATTATGAGGTTATAGGTTGAAACCCCAATGCATAAGGTCACGCGTAAGCGGCCTTATCATCAGCTATCAGTGTGACACATAAATAAATTCTAAGTAATCAATTATACTATTTATTTTAACAATATACAAATTTATTTATTTTTTTAGAAGTTTTTTATTGTCTTTTTTTTTTTTTTTTTTTTTTGTTTGATTTGGGTTGAAGTTTGAATTGTTTATTAAAATTTTTTATGATATTTTTTGTAAAAGAATATATAATAAAAAAAAAAGTTAGTTTTGATAGGGGCAATACGATTGCGCCACGTGGCAGACAGCTGTTGGTTGTCTCCCATGTTTGTTAATTCCGTTACATACCTTTCGCCTCCTATGTTTCTCCTTCCTTCCCCGACCTCGAACTCCATTGCAGCAGATAGATACAGACAAGGTTCGTGTTCGTCGAAAATGGACAAGAAAGAGAAAGCAAAGGAGAAGAGAGAGAGAAGACGGCAGGAGATCTCTCTCCTCCGTACCATTCCGTATTCCGACCACCGAAGGTACGTACGATTCGATCCTTTCAAATCGACAAAAAATTTTCTCAAATCCGCTGTCGGAAAATTACATCTTATCCTCAGATGGTGGAGCTCCGAAACGGTCGCGGTGGTGACCGGCGCCAACAGAGGAATCGGATTCGAGATCGTACACCAGCTCGCGCTCCACGGATTAACCGTCGTTCTTACATCGCGCGAAGCCGCCGTCGGAGAAGAGGCGGCAAAGGTCTTACAGGAAGGCGGTCTGAACGTCGTGTTCCATCAGCTTGACATTGTCAATCCTTCCTCGATTGAAGCCTTCGTCGATTGGATTAAGGAATCCTACGGAGGCGTTGACATACTGGTGATTCAGATTCCTACATCTCCGTTCCTAACTCCTTACATTTTTTGATCTCTGTCTGATTTTTCTTCTCCGTCGTCGCCGTCGAATTTTCCAGGTGAACAATGCCGGAGTGAATTTCAATTCCGGGTCCGATAACTCGATGGAGAACGCCGAGAACGTAATCCGAACAAACTACTTCGGCACCAAGAACATGATCAAGGCGATGATACCGGCGATGCGAGCTTCCGAACCCGGGGCTCGCATCGTCAACGTCAGCTCCAAATTGGGAAGACTGAACGCGAAGCGACACGTAAGTGTCGCTACCGATATTTAAATCGAATCGAATCAAGTCGAGAATCTTACGAATTTTTCTCACCGGGTCTGCAGAGGCTCGAAAACGACGAGTGGCGGCAGAAGCTCGAAAATGACGCGCAGCTGTCGGAGGAGCTGATCGACGAGATGGTGAACGCGTTTCTCGACCAAGTGAACGACGGGACGTGGGAGGACGGCGGATGGCCTCCGGTCAGCACAGACTATTCGCTGTCGAAACTCGCCGTCAACACGTACACGAGGCTGATGGCGCGGGAGTTTTCGGATCGACCGGAAGGAGAGAAGATCTACATCAACTGCTACTGCCCCGGGTGGGTGAGGACGGCGATGACCGGCTGGAAAGGGAATGTTACGCCCGAGGAAGGGGCCGACACCGCCGTCTGGCTTGCGCTGCTTCCCGATCAATCCATCACCGGCAAATTCTTCTACGAGCGGCACGAAATACACTTCTGAACGTGCCGGCGTTCATCGATTTCTTGTACGACGATTCCCCGTTTTCCGTTGTATCGCTTTGATGTACCTACATTACCGATGAATTCAACTTCTGGGCCAATTCGAATACCCGCGATCTGCAACAAAACTTAAGTATTGGTCGAAAGCGCGACGACTGTAGCGCTCATACACGATGGATCGTCGAGTATCCATTGTCTAACTACGACAAATCTAAATCAAAAAACTACATTTGAACTTACACGCCGATTTGAACCTCGATCGCGAATTCCGGGATCGGATTGTCTACCAGGGTTTAAGGTCGCCGACGGGGCCAGCAGTCCAGTTCAAGATCTTCTCCCCGGGTCGTAAGTAAACATTTCCGTCGTGCGGCAATTTACGAGCGAGCCCGTTCAAGATCTGGTGGAAGGCGTCTCTCGGCTGCGCAGGATGCGGAAACAGCATAGCCTGTTTCATGGAGGGATTGGCGAGTAGCCTCTGTTTCCGAAGTATTTCGTCGATAGGTATCGACGTCAGAATAGTATCGAGCTTCGGGACATCTTTCTCGGCAACAAAAACGCCAATTTCTTCCCATGGAATTGCATCAGCGAACGGCAACACGATATCGTCGGCTATAATAACAGGAATGCAGCCAAACACGACAGCCTCGACCAGTCGGGGACTCCATGGCGCCCATCCAAGGGGACACAAACAGAATATCGCCCTCTGCATATCTTCATAATACGTCGTTGGATGCTCCGTGGAAATATCGAACAAAGGGTTGTCCTTAAAGTTCTCCCATACTGATGCTCGTGCGCCCCTGCAATTATCGGGACGAATGTTTAGGTTACATGTCTTCATAATACGACAATCTAACAAGTAAAATAAATATCGAAAAAGTGCCGAGCAGTATACCTTGCATAGTAACCACCTTCGGGATCATTACCAACGTCGTAAAATAAACCTCGGAAGTAAACAAAGACGGATCGCGGCGTAGTAGGAGGAATTAAATGAGCCTGCATTTTCTGCGGAGGGGCATATGGAGGAATCGTGATCGATCCGTCCTTTAAGCAAACATGGTTCCGTTGTCCAAAAGTTTGAACCAAAGTAGCTCGTTGTAGCAACGGAAGGATCCCTCTTTCGATAGCTTTCTCTTCCTGCAATATATTCATTAAACATCAATAATGCAACGATAAGGAGAGAAAAAACGACGATTCTTCTTACTTGATAGTGAAAACATGCGCCAAAATCATGGGGCACGATAAAGAAATGATCGGCTCCTTCAGTTCGATTCCAGTAAGGCCAGTTGGAAGAAATTAGCTGTATAGCACTCCGCATAATACGCGGTGATTTGAACGGGAGAGGGAGACCGTTAGGAGTGAGGTCGCAGGTCGTATAGACAGGCGTGTAAAACCAGTCCGCTTCCTCCGGATTTAGGGTACGAACAGGACTAGACAAAAGGAAGCGATGCATGAAAATTTCGGCTGCAAACATATGGGTCAGACATCGCGGATCCTTCTGTAAAATCTTTTTGTTGTATTTGCTCGGAAGCTCGTAAACGAACACTTTTAACCTTCCCACAGGATCATCTTCCAAGACATCACCGGCACTACCTAAAATTCAAAAGTGCAGATGAAATATATTACATTATATGGATTTTGACATAACAAACAATTCTTGAAACAATAGAATCTTATACACAATTCACCTGAAAATTCGATTTGATTACAATAAACTATAAGTGTTCAGCTAATAATAAACGACATGAGGTAAAACAAGTGCAAAAAGTACATGAAACAAAAAGAAGCATATGTCTTGGAGAAAGATTCAATTTCATCTGTTGCTGAAACTTAAAATGCACACTTTTTGGATCAAAAAATCACTAGATTTATGCCGAAAAACATTTCTATACACACATTGTTGTATATACTTCTCGAGACTAGCACATATAACCAAAAAAGAGTATCCCACCACAAACATTCCTGTATATATTAACCGATAATCTAAAGACTAATCCGACTACACAAGAACTTTGGAGACTTTGTACTATTCAACTTTTCAAAAACATCACTTCAAATACATTTTTCTCTCACACAACATTACATCGAATACTAATTTTTTACTATTTTCAAATTTTCAAATCTCCGAAACTCTCAAGAAGTCTCTGTAAATGAGCCACTGATTTCGATCGAATTTCTAGCTTCATGAAGCAACCAATACAAACCACCACAACCACTTTGTTCCTAAAACCAGAGATTGTAAGACATAATGCCCTTTTTAAACACACAATACATCAAAACAAATCCAAAAATGATGGAACAAATTTGCTTTGGGGATACAGCAATGGCACAAACAACATTTCACCAAGCAATCTTCATATGTTCAAATCCAAGAATGCAAATTATATCAAAACAGCTAATGTGTAGCAAAATCCAGTTCAAATCCAGCACCAAAAAGCATTGAAGATCAAATCACTGCTCGAATAACCAGAACCTCTTAAGAATTATAACAAATCAAACTCAAAAGTAAGCAGAAATCCATTGCACTAAGAATTCAAGAAACCATATGAATTTCGTACAGATTGCGCCCCAAACCACTTGAATACGAGCCAATTACCCCAAATCGGGACAAACAATATCTTAAATTTCCAATCTAAACCTAAAATTTCAACTCCTTAATATCGTAGTTTAATAGATTGAACACGGAGGAATCGAAATTCAGCGTCGTAGATGCACAAGGGCAAAAAATGAACAGAAAACCCAAATAAACTGAAACGAATCTTACCCGAGATCCTCTCAGTGTGTTGAGTTCTATGGAACTTGAAACCATCAATCTGCCGACACATTATCAGCAGCACAAAAGCGAAAATACATCCCCAATTCATTTTCCCCCAATTCGCTAAATCAACTGCAAACGCCCCCAAACGAATTGCCTCCACAAACTGATATAGAAACTAGAATTCGGTTCAAGAGTGCAAACAGGTAGGAGAAGGAAGTAATTAATTGTTAGAATGTCGCCATGGTAGGTGCAGGAACAGCTCTTTCTTCCAAACTGGGATTTCGAGAAACAGCATAAAAAATCCCAAACAAATCGACACCAAACTACAACAATACACCCATCAGAGCAAACGGATAAAGCAATTAGTTCGAGAAACAGAGAAAATAAGATGGGATTGAGCTGCGAGGAAGACGATCGGCTGGATTTGTACAGTAAGAAGGATTTAATGTCTTCACCATAGCAAATGGCTGGCTGGGTGATGGCTTTGTAACTGTACAGCTAATTATTCCAAGGCAAAATTCATTTAATTTAACCTCTTATTATTATGTGCCGTGTAAATGGAAACTATCGCTGGTTTGTTTGATTTGAATTTTGACATTAATTTTTAATACTCTCTCATTCTCGTTGGATTATAGTAAAAAGATAAAAAATACGAATAATGACATAATTTGTATATATTGCAAGTTGAAATTTGTATTTATTATGTTAGGTATGTAGTGCAATTATTAATTATGAAATGGTAATCTTGTTTTGAGTACGGAGGAAACTAGAAAATTGTAGCATTTGAATGAACGGATGAAGTAATAAAATTTTGAATTAAAAAGGTAAGAATTTAAATATAAATTTAGGGTGCGTTTTTTCAGAGAGTTTTGGGGAAATTTGGTTTTGAATTTGATTTTTATTTGAATTTTGAGGTAAATTTGAATTTATGTGTTTATTTTGTATTTAAGTTTTGATTGAATTTGAAGAGTTTGATGTGTATTGATTTGATGATAATAAATATAATAATATAAATATATATGAGTTTATATAATTTGATTATAAAATTATATTATACCTATATATATTTTTAATTTTTTATTTATTTATATTATAAAAAATTTATTATCTAAAAAAAAAAATAATATGTATGTATTTTATTAAATTCTAATTATTATAAATTTTTTCATATTTATAATTAAAAAAAAAAAAGACGCGGTCAGTGTCTACCAGCAAAAGACACACCCTTAATTTTAGTTTAATACTAATATTTTCGTAATAAAAGAAATATAAAAATAATAGAAAAATAAATACTGTATAATTTTTCATTAAAATAAATAATAATATTTTTATAATAGAAATATATATATAATAAACATAAATTTAATTGATAGGGAATGTATATTATGTTGGCTATATCCCCAATTTGATAGTGATTATATGTTTTTCTTTTTTTTTTTTTCTTTTACCTGTGGTTTGAAAACTTTTATTTGAATTTTTTTTTATTAAAAATTGAATATGATGAAATATTATTAATCTTCTTATTCCATTAGATTTTCTTTTTTTATTTTTTCGCGTCGAAATTCTTTGATTTTTTCATTTTATAGCATTGCCTTATAGAATAATTTGGAGTTGGCGCGCAATAAACTGTGATATGAGTTGAGTATTCCTTTTAAAATTCTCCCAAATATCTTCATTTAATTACAGCACTATTTTCTTAATTTATTTTGAAGTTAAATTCTGATTCCTATTTATGTAGTTATCTGCTATTAAAAAAAAATAAAGTTTCCAAATTGATTTTGTTTATTTTGAGTTATTTTACATTTCTTATTACAAATATTACATTCAATTATTTATTTGTAAAATATTCATTCTTTCTCTTTTGTAAAATACTTGTTCGATTTCACTTTTTTCCGTATTTATTTCTATCTTCATATGTCTCATCTTATTTGTTATTTTTTTTAGAAAAAAATAATTATAAATTTTAATTATAATTTAAATTTTATAATCAATTATTTAGAATACTTGAAAAGAGACAGAAAAGATGAGACCGAAAGAGTAATATTTATATAATATTATTTTGAAAATTAGTAAATAAACAATTAAAAATTATAATAATTAAAATTAATTTATATTTGTTAAATATATTTAAAATTGACTAAATTACGTATCAACTATTATGAACTTACTGAAATGTATCAACTGTTATAGCACAGAAGGGTATTAAAAATACTCCGTCCGTCCGCCCTTTATATTTATCTTTTGCGTCATTGTATTTAACATTAAAAATATTACTATTATATTTGTGCAATATTTTTTTTTTTTTACAAATAAAAGTATTTTTGCAATAATTTTTTAATTTGCACTACGTTTCGATATAATAATTAATATTCAAATATTCAACATATAAAAATTAAATGAGACCTTAGATACGAAGATAATATAATATATATATTTTTTTTAAAAAAATTATTTATTTTATTTTAGCGATATAATTATATAAACTTAAAATAAAACCACCAACAAAAACAGCCTAAAATTAATGCACGCGAACTGCCACCAATATATATATATATATATATGTATCCTGCTGTCGTTCATTCATTTATTAATGTGTAGAAACATCCATGTGTACATTTACTTCAAATAATTAATTTGCTATTTACTTTAATTTTTGGGTCTATTTATTTGAGATTTTAAATCGAAATAAATTTATGGCGTGTTTCTTTAAGCATCAAATCTCATCAAGTTTTCTACTATTTAGCTTTTGTATTTTTTCGAAAAAAAAAATATATTTCATTCGTCTAAAAAAGAAGTATTTATTTGTTTTTTGCACGTAATTTTAGAAATATTAGTATTATATTGTGATGTAATAGGAATAAAATGTAAATGACTAAAATAACCTTGTTAGTATGTGTGATATAAATGTAGGTATACAGTACAGTTACTTAAAAAAAGGAAATGGATACTTTGTTATGAGACGGACTAAAATGGAAAAATGGATACTTTCTTATAGGACGGAGGGAATATTTTTTTTTTTTTTTTCTCAAAAAAATCATATATTATTTTAATATCAAACTCAAACTAAAATTTTTCGAACTAAATCAAAAGATACCGACCCGTAAACTTTGCAAGTTTCTCAATATAAATATATTATTTTTTTATAAAATATAGTATTAAAATATTACTTCCTCCGTCCCAGATATTTTGAGCTTATTTACTGTAGATGCGGGAATTTAGGTAAAGTTTAACGAGTAGATAATTAAGAAGTGTAATTATTATTTAGTAAAAATAATTATAGATTAAGATTAAGATAAGTAAATAGTTTAATTAAAATTTAAAAAATTATAAAATTTAAAATTTAAAATGCGATTAAAATGCATAATTATATTTTTAAAAATAAAAAGGACAAATTTTAAATGACAAACGAAAATATAAAATATGAACAAATTATGTGAGACGGATCCTAATTTTGGTATTTTTACTATACACTAGAGCAGGTTTAGTTTTCGTCAGGCTTTATATTTTGTATTTAAATAATGCTTATTTGTAACATTTTGTTAAAAAAAAAAATAATAATGTATTTTAAAGAAAATTATAGAAATTGCAAAGTAAAGAAATTGAAAAAAAAAAAATTGCAAAAAGAACATAGTCCAACAAGTTGTGTCTTGTTTTTTTATAAGCATGTGTTTCTTTTCATTTGATTTTAAAATTTAGTTTAAATTTGATATTAAAATAATATATGATAGAAATATTAGTTTAAAAGATTTTTTTTTTTTTAAAAACATAATTTAGATAATAAAATTTGAAAGTTTAATAGAAAAGAAACATCGGTATAACTTTTTGTTTTTAAATATTTTAATATATTGTGTGATATTTAATGAGAGGAATAAATGTTGTTTTGTAAAATAATGAAATATAATACTAATAAAAAACAATTCATGAAATAACACAATCTATGAAATTTTATAAAAATAGATACTCTTTCCGTTTTATAACTAAGTATCTGTTTGTTTTTTACACGGAGTTTTAAAAATATTAGTATTATATTGGAATATAGTGGAAAGAAAGTAAAAATGACTAAAATAATTTTATTAGTATTGTGTGATATAAATGTAATGATATTTGTGTAATATACTATCAGTTGTAAGGGTACTTGTAATGTTAGGGAGACAAAGTACAGTTACTAAAAAAAAAAAATGAATACTGGGACATACTAAAATAATAAAAAAAAATGAATATTTTGTTATAGAAGGGAAGAAGGAATTTTTTTCAAAGTGAGAAAAAATGTGACTTCAATAGTAGCTATGTGATTGTCTTCGTATAAAACATATTATATCAAATAATTATTTTATTTAAAAAAATAAAATACAAATCAAAAAACATCCACAAGGAAGTTTATATTTTGGTCTTATTCTTTTATTTCAATTTTGAGAACTATAAAACTGAACATTAAAATACTACATTCGTCCGATTCTAAAAGTCTCATTTATTTTTTATTGTGATAGATATTTGAATATTAATTATTATATCGAAACATAATGCAAACTAAGAAAAAATTGCAATAATACTTCTATAAGTGTCTTATAATACTAATAGAAGGATATTTGTACAAAAAAATTATACAAATATAAGAATAATTTTAATGTTAAATACAATGACACATAATGTAAATGTAATGCTTAGAGGCGGACGGAGGAAGTGATATATTTGAAATCAAATTGAAGCACACCTAGAGATAGTGTAAAAAATAATAAAAAATTTGTTAATTTGATGATTTACACTTTTGGTATTTAAATTTAATTTTTTTTTATAGTAAAAAAATATTAAGTTTATGTAATTTTTTGATTTTTTTTTCTAAAATATTTAATTTGTCCAGCTATGCCGAGAGAAATCGAAAAACACAACAGTGAATTGATGAAAAAAAAAAAATCAATATTTTACCCCTCGAAATTTTACGGCTGACTCCGTCATTGTATGTTGTCCGCCACGTAATGTCATATCAGAGAAAAAACTTATCAAAAATTCATTTTATTCTTTCTTCACATTGTAGAATTCAAATTAAAGTTCTTAAAATATCTCTCTTCTCCGCATGAATAAATTTATTTTTTATTTAATATAAGTTATATATATATTATAATACTCCTCCGTGTCAGATACCATATCCATGTTGCCGTTTCTGTCCGTCCTACATATGATGTCATTTTTCTTTTTTGGAAAATGATAACACACTTTAATCTTATTTTATATTTTTATTTTTTTAAATTTTAATTAAACTAATCAGTTATCTTAATCTTAATTTATAATTATTTATATTATAGAATAATTATTTTCACTAGTACATTCTTAATTATCTACTAATTACACTCCTCCTAAAATATTGTGTCTACTGTAACAGACACGATATCTGGGACGAGGAGAATAATATTTTACATTTAATTAACATATTTATATGCATTAGTATATTTATCATATTTATATATTTTACTCAAAATAGAGAAGTTTCAATTTCATGAGATATATAAAAATAGAAAAAGTATCATGCAGAAATGACGCAATATCAATATTATTTTAAAAAAAATAAATTTAATACAAATTTAAAAATATTTATTTATTAATAACTAATATAAATTAATTTTATAAGAGAAATGGAACTATAAATATAAATAAAAATATTAATTTTTTTAAAAACAAAAATTAAAGTAAAATTTTTTTGAATGAATTTACTATAATATATGATACTGTACGTAGTTAATTAAATTTATTTATATTTATTAAATATGTTCTCATTTAGTAATTTTTTTTATCAAATATTTTATTATAAATAGGTAATATATTTAGCTAATTAAATCAATTAATTCAATAAGCTTAACACCTAATTAAATCTGCAAATAATTAATTGGCAAAAATTCAACGGTCCATATATATATATATATATAAAACTTAATATATATATATAATATATAGGGTAAATTATATAATGCTCTCTCGTATTTTAAATAAAAATGCACAAAATACTCTATGTTTAATCTATTGAGTGAAACCTCTTGTAATAATATAAAATATGCATAAAACATTCTTTGTCCAAAATAAATATTTGATTAATCTTTCATTTTATAGTTTTTGAAACAAATTGTTATCTGATTTTTATAAAAAAAAACTATAAAAATAAATTATTGGTCAATTATTTATTTTTTATTTTATTCAAAAAAATTATTTAAGATATTTTATGTTTTTTATTTGTATAAAAGTTGTTTAATTTAGATTTTTATTTATAATCAAACATGTTACGAACTTTGCATTAATACAAATGAATTTCACACAATAAATATAACACAAATATTTTATTCATTTTTACAAACATAATAAGATGTTATACTTCTTCCGTCCCAATACAATAGTCTTATTTATTATTTTTGTCTATTCCAAAATAATAGTCTTATTTCCATAAATAATTATACCACTGTAAAACTACTGTTACTCTTTCATTATTATTACACAATTGTCGCTATAATTTATGCTAATACACTCACAAGGCCAAAAATATCTTTTATCTATATTTTTTACCCACTATCAATATAATATCAATTTTGTGCCCAACACAACCAACACTATAGTTTCGTGTGAAAGGGAGTATAATTTATTCAATAATTAATCGGCAAGTTTTAAACGGTGCACATATATATATATATGTATATATAACGTAATATATATATATAGAGAGAGAGAGAGAGCATTAAGTTGTGTAGCTGACTCTGTCAGTGATATATCTCAATCTTCATCTTCTTCATCTTCTTCTTCTTCCATCTGCCAATTTGTGGCTGCCCTGCCCTTCCCACACATTATCAATTACACTAAAATCCTCAATCGCCAATCATCTCCATGAACACCGCCGCCGCCGCCATGAAAGAAGCTCCACAAGACGACGACGACGAATTGAAGACGAAGCTCTCTCTCCTGAGAGCATCTGTTCACAACCAAGATCCTTCCTGCAAGGTAATTTCATCGATCGATCCATTAATATATATCATCAATTAACGATATATCTCTCATTTCATGTTCTTCCACATATTTTAATTAATTCCCCCAAATTACTGCTGGTTTGAACGAAACCCTAATTTCATCCTTGACGATGATCAGCTGCTTGATTTTATTTATTTATTTATTTTATTATTATTATTAGTTTATTTGTTTTTAACGATCTGATCAGATCTGTGATCCTATTTATGTGGAAATTTTTTTATATTATTTTACTTATTTATTTATTTTAAAGCAGATAGAAATTTGGTGATTGGTTGGTGGTTGGTGGACTTCATAACTAACTAGCTCTGAATTCTCATATAATATATATAATATTTATTTATTTATTTATTTAATTTCTTACTAAAGATATATATTTAAGGAGTAAAAAAAGTTAAATAGGGTTTTTGTAAGTACATAGTATTAAATTACCTATTTATTTTCATTTAAAAATAAACAAACCCTATGAATTTTGTGTGGGAATGTAATTAATTAATTTCATTCATTAATTTAATTAAGTTTGTTGGAAATTTCTTTCTTCCCTACCTCGAATTAGGGTTTGGCACGGTTCGGATATTTACAAATATCCAGGTATTTGATATTTAAATTGAACCGAACAAATACCCGAAATCGTGAACCGTATTCGAACCGAATTTTCGGTTAATCGGCAATATTTGCAAATAATTCGAACGAAACCGAAATTAAAAAATAATATATTAAAAAATAATTAAAATTCTAATTAAATCAAAATATTTCAAATATCCGAACCGAAAAAAATATCAAAAATCGAAACCGAACCGAACCGAAAAAATATCAAATATGCAGTATTTGTATTCGAACCGAATTTGATTGATTAACCGAAAATTCAGTTCGATTCAACGATTCGGTTCGATTTTTTTTCCAACTCCTACTTGGAATTGACTATAAACATGGTATTTGATTCCACACGGCACATGTTTATTTATTTATTTATTTATAATTAAATACATATGTAGACTTTTTAGAGTCTATATATATATATATATAGAGGCATCAAATATGAATATTGATGAATCTTCATTAGTAGGGTTGGGTCTTGTTGGCCATTTATTATATATATATATATATATATATATATGTAACATGGCATTTTTTATTTTAAAAAAGAAAAAACTATACATTAGTGTTTTTAAATAAAAATATATTCATTTATTCAAAACGTTACATTCGCAACCAATTCATCTAAAAAATGATATAAAAATAAAAGCAACGGCACTCTAAAAAAAATTCTCTTATATATATATATATAATTTATTACAAACTTAACTTTATGTGACATGATTATTTAAGAAAATATAATAATTCGTCATTAAGATGAAAATAAATTACAAATATGATCTCAAATGTGTTTTTAGATTAAACACTTTTTTAAATATAAAATCGATATTGTATGTGATAATTTAATTAGAAAATGTAGTTGGAGGTGAAATAATATTCAAACTAAAAAACAAGTGCAATAAATTGTATTGTGCAAAAATGATTTCAAAAAACAAAGTTAACATCGAATTGAATGTGTGGGTCTCTTTTTGTTTAAATAAGAGTTTTGAAAGTTCAAATAGAATTCAATATGTGATATGACATTTAAAAAAATTCAATTTTTAAAAAATACATACTTGACATGATATTTTTTCGAAAAAATTAATACCGACGAAATAGTGTCACAACTTTCAAGAATATATATAAATATATACATATATAACCGAGATAGTTTCAAGACCAGGAAATGGATGATTCGACTTTGAGAAGGTTTCTTCGCGCGCGCGATCTTGACGTGAATAAGGCTTCGGAAATGTTGATAAAGTACATAACGTGGAGAAAAACATTTGTTCCTAAGGGTTACATTTCAACCTCGGAAGTTCCCAATCAGATAGCGCAGAACAAAATGTTCATGCAAGGCAAAGACAAGCAAGGCCGGCCTGTCGCCGTGCTTTTTGGCTCCCGGCATTTTTCTTGCAAAGGAGGCATGGATGAGTTTAAGCGTACGCTCCGTGTTTTTTGATTTTTTTTTTAATAATTTTAATTATTTTTCGAGGTTATGTGTTATTTATGTATATTTATGGTTGGATTATCTCAGGTTACTTGGCGTTCGTTCTTGACAAACTAAGTTCCGCGTAAGTTCTTCGTTGATATTTTTATGTTTCTATTATCATTTTAATCTTAGGTATGATTTTTTGAAAGTTTTGAAATTTTAAAAATTTTGGTGAATAGTAAAAAATTAAGTAGTATAATATTTTATAAAAAAATGGTAGATATTTGTTATAATAATTTATGAAAATAGTGCTCTAAATGTGTAAATAGTGTCAAAAGTAATTAATTTAAGGTCTATAAAGATAGCCTTAATTTTTTGTTGTTCTTTGACAATAATAGTTGACATTGACATACACATTTGACACTTTCTGGCACCGTTTAGAGTAGAGGTGGACATTCGGATTTTCGGTTCGGATTTTGCCAAATTCGAACTGATCTGAAAATTCAAAATTTTTGAAAAAAATCAGTCCGAAATAACCGAAATCCGAAATTCGAAAATCCGTAGTCCGAACTAAAAAATCCGAACCAAACCGAAAAATCCGAAATTCTAAATATTTTTATTATTTTTTTTCATTTTTAAATTTCTTTATATTTTATTATTATTTTATAATATTAAATATATATAATATATAAAAATTAAATATATTAAAATATAATTAATAAATTTGAGTTTTTTATATTAAAATATAATATTTTCTAATAAAATATTAAATATGTATAATAAAAAAATATATTAAAATGTTATATTTCGGATTTCGGATTTCGGATTGGTTCGGATTTTAAGTACACCGATCCGATCCGATCCAAAAATCCGAAATTTGTTAAAAATTCAATCCGATCCGATCCGAAAATCCGAAATTTGTTAAAAATTCAATCCGATCCAATCCGAAAATCCGAACCAAATTTTAAATTTCGGTTTGGTTCAGATTGAATTTTCGGATTTCGAATATTTTGCTCACCTCTAGTTTAGACAGAAGTTTTTGAAGATTATTGATATTTTATGAGAAAAAAAATATATTTGATATGATCTTTTTTAAAAAATAAATAATATCAAATGAGTTAAAATTGGTTGGATAAACAAAACCTCTATATCCATGTGATCAAAATAAACATTTGAAGTAGTTTGAATGTGCGTCTCTATATTTTTGTTTTAATTTTGAATTTTGATTTTAAATTTGTGTCTATGTTTTAGTCTAAATAGTGATTTAATATAAGTTTTTGTAAAAATATATATTATATTTTTTATTGAAAAATATATAATTAAATAATGAAAAACATGCAAAGAAACATATATATTTTCTCATAATTAAAGTAATTTCCATATACATACATGAATAAAAATATAATTTTAGTACTATAACCTATACTTGTATTATTTTATTCTTTAATTAGATTCTTTTTATGTTGTTTATTGTTGATCTAATAGTTTTATATTTACATAAGATACCAAGCATGTATTCTAAATCGAATTTAACATATCAATTTTTTATATTTGTGAATGTCACACCCAAATATAAGATAATTGAGATTGGTTATGGCGTTGACACGAGTTAATTAGCACCATAATGATTAACTCATTTCAGCACTATATGTTGGTAGTTCATATGTTGCATTTTGATCATATTGATATAAATTATATAATGTTTATATACTTGCGCTCAACAATATCGTTCAACACTCTAACAACAGCCGGGATAATTAAAGCACCAATGAATTAGATACAAAACTATCTCTAGATATAATTCACTTAAAAAATATCGCTTATGTGTTTTCGTTTAATATGAATTGATCAGTATTCCGGAGGGACAAGAGAAGTTCACCATTATAGGCGACCTTCAAGGTTATGGCTACTCCAATAGTGACATACGTGGAACCCTAGCCGCCATCTCGATTTTACAAGATTATTATCCGGAAAGGCTTGGCAAAGTCTTTGTCGTTCACGTGCCTTACATTTTTATGACCTTGTGGAAGATCATTTGCCCCTTTATCGACAAAAACACAAGAAAAAAAGTAAGATATAAAAACATCTTCAAATTGAGCATGCTTACATATGCACACATGTATCTATATATATTCATAAAACTTTTTTTTTTTTTCCTTATGATGCAAGATTGTGTTCGTGGAGAACAATAAACTTCACGAGACATTACTCGAAGATATAGAGAAAAGCCAACTTCCCGAGATCTATGGAGGTGAATTGCCGCTTGTCCCTATCCACAATTGCTAAAATATGTGTGTGCGCATGTGCATATCCCTCTTGTAAGTCGCTAAAAAATACAAAATCTAGTGTATGTAATATCATATATATATATATATTATGACATAAAAATCTGCAGCTGCTACTCTTCGAATACGAATTGAGTAAACTCTTGGATGAACACAATAGCTACACTTTTTAATTTTGTGTGCGCCCCTTTTGTAAGTTTGAAAAAATTTCGGGTGATATATATTATCGAACAAAAGATATGTATACCTATTGAGTTCATTTTCTTGTTGGTATGTTGGATTTATTTGAAATTGACAAAAGTTTGTCAAAAAATTATAATAGTCTCTCAATTATAAAAATTGACTTAAAATTTTAGGAACAAGTTTGAGAATTATAAACCAAAAATTCTTCAATAATCAATGCCGGTTGATTCTAAAATATATAAATAGAGCAAAATTGTTTATAATCTGTCAGTGGTTTAGAAATTCAACATTATACTTGTTCGTGATTTAGAAATTGCACAAGGCTTTCTCGTGTTTTATAAAATATCGTACACAATTCTTTAAAAATTGTATGAGATTTCCTTTTATTTTTAAAAATATTGCATAAAATCTCCTAAAAATTATCTTATGCAATATCATAAAAATACACGAGAATCTCATGCAATTTTCTAACACGGAATTTTCAAACCACAAAAGAGTCATAAGTAAATTTATCTATAAATAAATAAATGATGTATATCTTTTTAATTTTAAATTCTTAAATAAAATGATTATTTGATACTCTCTCCGTCCAATTTCTATTTTTCTAAAGTATATTTGCACAGTTTTTTAGGTGATTGTCTTTTTGTTATGAATTGACAAATTTGTCTTTAATTGTATGGTAGAGATGAAAAGTAATAAAATGAATTAAGGATAAAAATATAAAATTTATGTTTAAAAAAGAAAATATGACCATAGTGGTTGAATGTCCAAATAAAAAAGTAGAATATTAGTTTATAAACGAAAGGAATACGATATTAGAGTTGGAATATTCTGCATTTATATCTTACGGACAAGATTTGTATGTAATATAAATCCACATTGAAAAATAGTTTCAATATACTAAAATAAATTTTATAGCATACTAGTGGTAATACAATGATGTTAAATATAATTCAACGATTTATTTATTTATTTTTGTATTTCATTAGATTATATATATTTATATATTTTTTAACAGCAAAATTATAAAAATAATTGAGTATGATATAAATCCAGAAATTAATAAGTAAATTGAGAGCCAACAAGGTCCAGCATGTAAACATAGGCAATTAATATTTTGGTTGTGAGGTGTTTTTTCTAGACTTTTTACTATTTCAAAAAATAAATAAATAAATAAAATTAAAAATATTTTTTTATTATATTATACTATACCACATTCAAATTTAATTTTAAATCCAAAATATTATATCAATTCCAAAAGGGCTTGGATCCAGTATTGATGGGTCAAATAAACATATATAATAAATATACACCGCATATATTTTTACATACATATGTCGTGTTATAACAAAATATATATTGTATTATAAATATATTACGTTATACTCTTTCCGTCTCACTCTAATGTACCGCTTTAAAATTTTGTAACAGATTAAAAAATAATAATATTTTATTGACCAGTACATATTGTTTAAGAATGTTTGATATTTTTGTCCTTCAACTTTTTATATAAATTAATTATGTGTTATAATATGTTTATAATTTAGGTAAAAATTAAAAGTATTTTAATATTATTATATATAATTATTTTTACTAAATAAAAAAATATTTTTTTTTAATTAGACATACGAAAATAGTAAAAATAGTACTTCAAGTTGAGACAAGAGAGAATATAATATATGTTGTATATATTTACTATGTAGAAAACATAATTATTACACATAATTAATGATAATATATACTAGGGCATAACCCGAAACCAAACCCAAATCAAGTTTACCCGTATTTGATCCGAAGTCGATTTGGATCCAATCCAAAGAAACCATCTATAGACTTAATCCGTTCTCCATTCAATTTGACCTAAAAGCTTTGTTCTTATATATATACTCCCTCCATCCCATAAATATAGTTTTAATTGAATTGGGCACAAAATTTAAGAAATATTGATATTATATCGGTAGTTAGTAAAAAATATAGATAAAAAACTTTTTTGCCCTTGTGGGTGTATTAGACTAAAAAGTAGTGGCAATTGTGTAATAAAAATGAAAAAGTAGGAGTAGTTTTATAGTGATATAGTTATTTATCAAAATAAGACTATTGTTTTGGGACCGACAAAAATGATAATAAGATTATTGTATTGGGACTGAGGGAGTATTTTTTTTCAGTTAAAAACATATTCATGTATTTAATAAAAATATATTCCATATGTCCTAATACAATAGTCTTGTTTACCATTTTTGTTCGTCTCAAAACAATAACCTCATTTACATAAATAATCATATCACCATAAAAGTATCTCTACTTTTTCATTGTTATTACACAATTACCACTATTTTTTACACTAATATACTCACAAGGGCAGAAAAGTCATTTATCCTTACTTTCTACCAACTACCGATATAATATCAATATTCATTAAATCTGATGTCTAATACAATAATACTATACTTTTGGGACGGAAGGGAGTATAATATTTTATTTTATAAATCATACTCTCTCCGTCCGCAAAAATTAGAATATTTGGGTCGGCACAAAGACTAAAAAAATAAATATTTTATTAAAAAGGTGATAAAAGTAAACAAATAGTTCGAGATATTTTGAAAAGTAAGTTAAAAATTAAAAAATAAAAAATAAAATGAAGAGACTCATTTATTGTAAATAAATGTTGAATTAACGATAATAGTTAAATGTTAATTTGTTGACTTTGCTAAAATTAATAATTGGATAAATTTAGCAGAGAAATTAAAAAAAAAAAAAGTAAAAATAAATTTGGCTGAACGGAGGCGGTATATAATAATAATGAAAATATATTTTAGTATCACCTTTATAATTTAACTTAGGGTGTGTTTTTTAAAAAATTCATAATAATAATAATAACATATACATTTTTTTTAAAAAAAAACTAATATATTACACATATTCATTATTTATATATTAACTATACAATTTCATATATTTAACATAAAAAAAATATTCCTTCAAACTATTGCACAACTAACATAATATTCCAACATACTATTTCCTACCATTTTTTTTTAAGTAAATTTTCGATCAAACTTATAAATATATATACATACGTATAAAAATTAAATAAAATTAAATATACTCCCTCTATGACCTAAATTATGTCAATTTTTTTATTATTATTATTATTTGTTGACTTATATACTCTCTCCGTCTCAAAAAAATTTGTCTTATTTTTCCATTTTTGTCCGTCCCAAAACAATCGTCTTATTTGCTATGGCCTCCACTTTATAACTGTTGTGTTTTTATATACGTAATCTGACAAGCAACAAACAACGTCAACTAAAATGTATCCAACAAAATTGAAATAAAAACAATATAGTTTCTGAAAATTAATTTAAGAACACAATCAATCTATTGAAAAATCAGGATTCAAGATTAGACACAGCAGAACATGAACTTCCCTCTTTCGACAGTCTTCCGGCGAACACACCCAGTCACGCGCCGCAGCTCCGGCAACTTCCTCTTCCGGCGATTTCCAAGCGACTCGACAAAGGATAGGGGAAACTATTCTTACGGCTCAGTCTACAACCTAATGACTCACATTTAGGGACTAACCCAACCGCCTCCAAACAAAAACCCAAACCAACGGACTCGATCAACCCTAAACTCTAATCGACCGATCTCCCCCAAGACCTCACAAAAGCACCCAGAAGAACAACTTACTGAAGGAATCGAACAAGAACAACGGCGATTTCGGCGAAGAAGAGAACCCCAAACTTACCAAGAAGAACTCGAAGAAGATGAACCAGAGGGAGAGAAAAACAGATTCCAAATCGCGCAATACACTCTCTAATGAGAATGGAGGTTTGGGGGAGTTATAAGGTGTGAGTCGGGTCGGATCGGGTTAAAGGGTTTTGGGTTGCGGGTTGGGCTTGGTATTGGGTTGGGCCAAAATATATCTAACAATAACAAAATTATTCATACTTTTTCATACTATCCATAATTATTACTCTAACATACTCTTTAAAATTTTTCAAAAAGCAAGGGCATTTTAGTCATACATGCTACTTTATACCCACTTTCAATTAAATATTATTATTCCTTAATTTCCGTGTCAACTCTCAATAAGACACTTCTTTTGAGACGGAAGGAATATAATTTATTTATAATAAATTTTATTATTTTTACTTTAATTAATAATAATCAATTTATTATTATTATTTTTTAAATTTATTCAACCATCATTTTATCAATAATTTAATAAATTTACCATAATAGCCTTTTTATTTATCTTATTTTTATATTAAAATATTATTATTTTTTAATCTTTGTGCTCAAACAAATTTATACTATAATTTTTATTGAAATGATAAAATAACATTTCCTCCGTCCTAAACTTCCTAAAATATTTTTATTTTAGTACATATCAAGCACTATAACCGTTTTTAAATAAGAAATGCTAAATTACACAAAACCTATGTGGGGTTTTATGAAATTGTGCAAAATCTCTTATACTTCTAAAGTTGCGTCAAACTCCCTCATGATTTCATAAACTCAGCGTCTAATCCCCTCGACGGTCCTTATTTAACAATATTTAACCTAAATATGCCCAAACTGCGATTACATTTTCAATTTTCAATTTCTAAACCTCTAAATTATAAATATATTCTTTTTTTTAATATATTTAGCTTTAAAAAATAATAAATATATTCAAAATAGTTATTTTTCTTAAATTTTAAGAGTTTATTTTTACTTTTTTTTTAAAGCTAAATATAAGAAAAATAAATATATTTGTAATTTTAGGGGTTTAGAAATTAAGATTCTAAAATTTGTTCGCAATTTGGGCGCATTTAAGTCAATAAAAACCGCTGAGGAGGTTAGAAACAGAGTTTATGTAACCACGAGAAAGTTTGACGAAATTTTCCAAGTATAAGAATATGACGCAATTTCGTGAAATCGCACGTGAATTTTGTTCAATTTAGCCAATAAAAAATAATTAAATGTACTTAATTTACATTCTATATTTCATCTCATCATATTATTTAAATAGATAATTTTTTATCTTATTACATCACATAATTTATAATTATTCAATTTAATACTCCATCCGTCCAGCTAGAAAGTATACTTATTTCTATTTTGAGACGTTCAATTACAAAGTAAATATTTCATTGAATACTCTACTTTTTTCCACAAATACCTTTACTTTACATCACACCATTACTTTTACACCAAAAAGTAAGGGCAAAAATGTCATTACAGTACTTTTAACTATCCACTATAATTAAAATACTATTATTTTTTAAACACCGCGTCAAAAGTAAATGTATACATTGTAAGTGGACGGGGAGAGTATTTATCCATCTAAATTCTTACTACTCTCTCCGCCCCATAACTATATATTCATTTGTTTTTTATATTAGTTTTAGAAATATTAATATTATATTGAAATGTAGTAAAAATAAAGTAAAAATGACTAAAATAACCTTATTAGTACGTGTGATATAAAGGTAATGATATTTGTGTAATATATTGTAAGTTGTAAGGGTATTTGTAATGTTAGGTAGATAGTACAGTTCCTAAAAAAAGTTTAAATACTTTATTATACGACGGACTAAAATGAAAAAATAGATATTTGTTATAGGAAATAGGGAGTATATAAAATAAAAATTACACCGTACGTATGATGGATAATACATAAAAGAAAAATAAAAATAAAAATAAAAAAGAAAAAGAAAATTGCAGAGTAGCAGTGAAAAGTGAAATTGCACGAGGGGAGGGAAGAAGAAATAGAAGAGAATCATGGGAATGCCTTTGGGGCATTTGAAGGGGAAGTGCCCGTGACTGACAGACACACAGCTTTTTCCGTACACTGTCACTTGCATGTTATGAGGTGTCACTTTTTGATTCGACGCTTCCATTAATGATCTCGTTGACCAACACGCCTATCTTTTTTTTTTTTTTCAATAAATAAATAAATATTCCGTCTGTCGGAAAACTATAGTCTTATTTGAGTTTGACACAAAATTAAAAAAATATTAATATTATATTAATAGTTGCTAAAAAGTATGAGTAAAAAGACTTAGTGTAAAAAATAGTGATATTTGTATAATAATAATGAAAAAATATGAATAATTTTATGGTGATAGAGTATTTATGGAAATGAGACTATTGTTTTTGGACGGAAAAAAATACTTCCTCCGTCCACAAACTAATATCCTATTTTCCTATTTGGGACGTCCAACAACTATTGTCCTATTTCATTTTTTAAACATAAATTTTACATTTTTACTCTTCATTCATTTATTACTTTTAATTTCTACCATAGGCAAATTTGTCAATTTATAAAAAAAAGACAGTCACTTAAAAATCCGTGTAAATATACTTTAGGACAATAGAAATTTGACGGATGAAGTAGTAAATAAGACTATTGTATTGAAATGGATGAAGTAAATAAATACGTAAATACTAAGGGTTTGTTTATTTTTCCACGAGTTTCTACTGTTTGAATTATGTGTTTTTCGAATTTTTTTTTTTTTATAAAATATTCTATCATATAGTATTTTAATATCAAATATAAACCAAAATTTTCTCAAACTCATAAAAAGATACGTACCGTAAAATTTCAAAATACTTTTAATGTATGTTTGTTTATAAGTTTGGATTTTGGTTTGAAATTTAACTAGTAAGACATTTGAATTGAAATAATGGTATAATGTGAAACAAATAGACGTTGATGTGATATTTGAATATATAATTGATTTATAATATAATAAAGAAAATACTATTTAAATAAAAACTCAAATCAATATTTTATTTCAAAATCAATTTTAAACCACAGTCATCAAACAAACCTTATTTTAAATGACATATAAGTTGTGTTTATACGATAATAGATTTGACATGGGATTGGTTACGGTGCTGAATTGAAAAAATCAATATGCACAATATATATAAACAACACACGTTCTTATTACAAATACCATATGTTTTGTAATAAATGTGTTGTGTGAGAACATATTGTGTGCTAAAATCAATTGTTATGTATATTTTATGAGACTATTACACGTATTGTTGTTTTATGTGCTATTTTCTTTTTATATTATATTAATACATATTGTGTATATGATAATACCGTGTGTTATTTATTAATAATAATGTGATATTCAACACAATGCTGAACTTTATATTTAGTATTGTAGATGTATAATGTATACATGTATTAAAGAAATGGAATTGGTTACATAGTAATCTTATACATTGTATATAATTATTGTTGAAATAATATATATTATATTTTTTTTTTTCGTTTTTAACAATTTATCCATTTTTTTTATTTTAGTTCGTCCATAACAAAGTATACATTTTATTTTTAGCAACTGTACTTTTTATTAACATTAAAACTATTTTTACAAACAACACATATTTTAATTATATAGAATATATATTGTGTGTAATAAAGACATATGTGTTTATTTATAATTACATATGTGTTGTATAAGAGTATGTCGTATGCTAAAATCAATTATTATGTGTGTTATATGAGACTATAATATGTGTTATTAGTTCATGTATGTATTTGTATTATGCTAATATATGTAATGTATTGTCTGCAATAATATTATGTACTGTCATAAAACACACTATGTGCTTTTCAGATGTAATTATCTCTGTCTCACTTAATTTGTCTATTTATTTTTACTTATGTTTGTTCTACGTAATTTATTCTTTCTTTTCTTCTCAAAATATAACTATATATATTATGGGTGTGTTTGTTTGGGAGATTGGATTTTAAATACACTATTCATTCCAATTTTTTCCCCGTAAAGCATCAAATCAAACACCTATTTTTTATTTTTTATATTATACTAAAAATTAATTTTACATTCAAAATATCACATCAACACCTATTTATATCACATTATACAACTATTCAAATTCTAAATTTTTACTATCCAAATCCCAACTCAAAATCCAAATCTATTATGTATATGTGATGTACTCTTTTATCATGTAAAATTTGCTTATTAATAATGGCCCATGCTATGTGTACTAGTAATTAGCTACCCTTATTATTATTAGCTACCTCTAAAGTTATTCCAACTATTATTATTATTATTATTATTATTATTATTATTATTTATTTATTTATTTATTGGGATTATTTGTCTTGTTGCGAAGAAGAGTGGGTGGCAATGAGAAGCTGCTGCTGCTGCTGCTGCTGCTTCTGCGAAATGCAAGCACAACATTGAATGAATCTCTCTGCATTCAAATTCACAGTTCAACGCATCATTTAATTAAATTAAATTAAATTAATCTTAGTGAGTGAGTCAGAGTGGACAGGACAAAGCACAGTGACGCAACAGTATATGTATGCATGGATTGTAACACATACACACCCCAAACCCAATAATTGAAATATATACACACACACATCAAATGTAGAGAGAGAGAGAGAGAGAAACCCCAATCCAATCCAATCCAATCCAAGGGTTGGGGTTCAAAAGAAGAGGTTGGTGAAGAAGAAAAAGCAGCGGCTGTAAACATGGAAACAAACACCAAACAGCCTTAATAACATTACTACTATCCTCTCTCTCTCCCTCCCTCTCTCTCTCTCTCTCTATATATATATATACACACATATACATACATACATACAAACTGATCAGAACATGCAGCAGCAGCAAAGTGAGTTAGGGCCCTGTCTCTTTTTTCTCTTCTTATCATCACAACAATCCCTTTAGTACTTGCAACAAAATTCAATTTCTCCAATGGAATGGGGCCCCCCACCCCACCCCACCCCCACGATCAACAATGGAATAGTACACCATTAAGTGAATATGCATGCTACCTAGCTAATGTCCAAATGATCAAACCATACACATAGATATATAATAATCAAGAAAGAAAGAAAGAAGAGTCCAGCAGACAAGGACAGGTAATTTAGCAAAATGGGTCACAGCTACAGAAAAGAAAGAACCCTCCAGAGCAAGAAAGCAAGACAACATTACATACACACACATATATACATACAATTTAATACAACAGTAAGTGAGTGTGAAATCCAAAAGCACATTGGCATTCAGTTATTCCATGACAGGCTCATCAGAACTCACTCAGATTCACATTCACATTCACAGTTTTGATTTTTTCAAGAATATCACAACAAGAAGAAAAACAAAGACCAAATACTACCACCATCATATTTGCAGACAGACAGACAGAGAAAGACCCTTTCCTTTTCTTTTCTTTATTGTATTAATTAATTAATTATTGTTATTATTATTTGAATCGGTGCTAGCAAGCAACAAGTGTCAAAAGGGAATAGCGTTTTACCCTGTAACTGCACCGAACTGGAGGGAATGGACCCGGACGCATTCTCGGCAAGTTTGTTCAAGTGGGACCCCAGAGCCGCCCTCGCTCCGCCCGCCAGAATGCTCGACGCCGTCGTGGCGCCGCCGCCCCCGCCGCCGCCGACCTTCTCGGTCCGGCCGAGGGGGGAGCTCGGTGGCCTGGAGGAGCTCTTCCAGGCCTATGGGATCAGATATTTCACGGCCACTAAAATCGCAGAGCTTGGATTCACCGTCAACACGCTCCTCGATATGAGGGATGAAGAGCTTGACGAAATGATGAATAGCCTCTGCCAGATTTTCCGGTGGGATCTCCTCGTCGGAGAAAGGTATGGGATTAAGGCCGCCGTCCGGGCTGAGCGGCGCCGCCTCGATGAGGAGGACGCCCGCCGCCGGCATCTCCTCTCCGGCGATGCTACCCACGCCCTTGACGCACTTTCGCAGGAAGGTACAAGTTACAACCAAAACGGCGCCGTTTTGAATCCCCTACAAAATAATAATAATAATAATATATATTAAAAAATAATTATTTATTATAATATTTATATATATATATATATTGCATGCATGAAATATGATTGTGTGTGTGTGAAGTAGGGTTGTCGGAGGAGCCGGTGCAGCAGGAGAAGGAGGCGGCGGGGAGCGGCGGCGGAGGAGTGTGGGAGATGATGGCGGCGGCGGCGGCGGGGGGCGGTGGGAGGAAGCAGCAGCAGCAGCAGCAACAGCAGCAGCGGCGGAGGAAGAACTACAAGGGGCGTTCCAGAATGGCGGCTGCGTCCATGGACGAAGACGACGACGACGAGACCGAAGGAGCCGACGACGACGAGAATTGCGGCGGCGGCGGCGGAGAGCGGCAGCGCGAGCACCCATTCATCGTCACGGAACCCGGTGAGGTGGCGCGCGGGAAGAAGAACGGCCTCGACTACCTCTTCCACCTCTACGAGCAATGCCGCGAGTTCCTAATCCAAGTCCAAAACATCGCCAAAGACCGCGGCGAAAAATGCCCGACCAAGGTTAATTTAGTAAATTCACATATATTCCGTAATTAAAACTGTTAAACAAATCGAGTAACTCACGAGCCAAGATCGACTCAGCTTGTTTATCTCTCAGCTCGTTTATCTTTATAGAGATAAACAAGCTGAACTCGAGCTCAAAATTATTTTTTTATAAAGGTTAGCTTGTGAGTAGTTCAATTGAGCTCGAAAATTATTTTTCTAAATATTTTATTATAAAAATTATGGATAAAATTAAATAATTAGTTTATATATTACAAAATATATAGAATATGTATAAAATTCAAGCCGAGCTCAAGTTCAAGCCGAACTCAAGCTTGAATTTGAACTTAACGAGCCGAGCTCGAGCCACTATTTTGATTTGAATTCTTAACGAACTGAACTCGAACTTGAATTTGAGCCTAACCAACCGAGCTCGAGCCACTATTTTAGTTCGAATTCTTAACGAGCCGAGTTGAGTCTGTACCGTTAACAAGTTCGAGTCGAACTTGAACAATCGATACTCGAACTCGCTCGGCTCGTTCTCGTTTAAAAACTCTAATTTAGTCCTACCAACACCAATAAATACATATATACATACGTGTTTTCAGGTGACTAACCAGGTTTTCCGGTACGCGAAGAAGGCTGGAGCGAACTACATCAACAAGCCGAAGATGCGGCACTACGTGCATTGTTACGCGCTGCACTGTCTGGACGAGGAGACGTCGAACGCCCTGCGCCGAGCGTTCAAGGAGCGGGGCGAGAACGTCGGTGCCTGGCGCCAAGCCTGCTACAAGCCTATCGTCAACATCGCATCACGCCAAGGCTGGGACATCGACGCCATCTTCAACGCCCATCCTCGACTCTCCATTTGGTACGTCCCCACGAAGCTACGCCTGCTCTGCCACGCCGAGAGAAGCAATGCCGCCGCCGCCGCCTCCAGCTCCATCACCGCCGGCGATCACCTGCCATTTTAATCTGCTTATGAAACAGTGTTAGGTCTGATGTAAGAATGTTGTTCTATTCGGAATTTAATTAAACTCTCCGGAAACCCTAAACCCTAATCCGTAAGCCTATAAAAGTGCATATCTTAAAAAAAAAAAAAAAAAAAAAGGTGCATATCATAATCAAGAACACAAAGTCCGGATATAGCATACAAAACCAGCAATGATCGATCCGAAAGTAAGGGGAATATAAATCTGAGTTCGGACAACATATTCGTCTCGTTATGGTTACGACGAGTGAGTCGGGTATCGCCACAGCACGTCAGCCCAAGTGCTCGCGCCGTCGGTCACCTCTTTGATCACGGACGGCACCTCGTCGACGTTGACGCGGATCTGCTGCTTGCTGTCTCTTTCCCGGATAGTCACCGACGACGTCGAATCAACAGTGATCGCGAGGGGGACGCCGAGTTCGTCAGTCCTCGCGTATCTCTTTCCTATAGAGTTACCTGCGCCATCGCCATCGCCCAAATTCATCGTACAAACAATTTATGCACTGCGAAAATTATACACGACAAAAAATTCTAAGGTAGGCGCCAACCTGTTATGTCGATTTTGTTGGAAATCCCGACAGCAGTCAATGATTTAGCGATTGTCCGGGCAACTTCCTCGTATTTTTGATTCTGGACTAAGGGGAAGACGGTGCATTTAATCGGGGCGACGAGCGGAGGGAAGCGGAAGACATTCAATTGTTCATCACCGTCTTTACTAGGCCGTGTGTAAAAGGAATGCTCGTAGAGACAGTATATGATTCTTCCGATGCCGAAGGATGGTTCGATGACGGAGGGCGTGAAGACCCTTTGATGCTCCTTTTTCTTCTCCTTGGAGATCGAAACCATGTTGTTCTTTATGGTCACTACTTTGTCGAGCGTACAAACCTTAAACTCTGCCTCTCCTTTGGTTTCGAGTGTTTCTTTCATCTCCATGGCTTCCTTTTCGTCCATAGCCTATTCACAAGCAACCAAGAAAGAATTGAGATTTCTGATGAGCGTCTCCAATGGGTGAATAAATAGATGAAATCGATGTACCTCCAAAGCCTCGACCACCATTTTTTGGATGCCCTTAAAGGCAAGACCGAGCTCTTTCTTGACGGGAGTTATGACAAGTTTCTGCAGATGATCGAAAAATGCCAAAGTTGAGTCGAGCTTTATATATAAAAGACTCAAGCTAAAATTATATATTTCATTAATTAGTTCATCTCAAATGAATCATAAACATCTTAATATTAATTATATAACTTCACTATTAGAAAATAGACGTAAAAGATCGATCGGGCTGTAGAAGTAATGAGCTCAAGTGTTTCTAGGTCTTATGGCAAATTCAATCAAACTACAACGCGGGCATCACAAAAGTTCGACTCAATTTCATTTCTATTTCTGACATGATGCAAAGATTATTGAGGTGAAACATCACTACAAGAAAATAGTATTTTCGTAACGAACTTTTTGGTCTTAAATCCATTTTTTTTCTGTCACTAATGACATTATATTATTTTGTTGTAATACATGAAATATTTTCAACACCTATTCCAGGGAAACAAAAGTTAGATACCTCAACTTCGCGGGGCTCCGAATATTTCTCGTGCGCTACCAACGCCGTGCCACTTTTATCCTGCAAAGGTTAACAAAAACCGATCAGATCAGATCAGATCAGTGTACGTTTTTCAAACCAATTTTCATATCGTGAAACAAAAGATCGCATTGATCAAAAAATACCAAACAGAAAACATATACATACAAGTTCATCGGCAAGGATTGCATTCACAGCTCAAAAAACTATACAAGTTCACCACAGAACTTACAGTATGAGCACGTAAATCATACGCTGATCGATCTGCAATGCCGACGCATTCGATCCAACCATACGAGCATTCAATTTCAGCATCCCAACAATCCGCTGCATAGTGCGCCATCTCATTTGCCAGATGCTGGCGGAATCGCAGGCGATCCTTGTCAATTCCGAGTTCAGTTAAAAATAAGTACACCCGCCCTATGAAAAATCCCAGCGTTTCATTGTTCACAATGCCCTACAAAACACATACCAATATAATGTTAATACCAAACAAAATTCCACATCTGAAATAGATAGGCATCCAACAAATCGACCTGAGATACTGCCTCTCCAATAGGAATTCTCCTCGCTGCTCGTCCGGACACCTGATCTTCTCTAGGGAACATTAAAAATTCCAAGTTTGCAACTTCAGCAAACTTTGGGTGAGACTTGTCGTCCGGATCAACAAAATGCTCAATCTCCGCCAGCGTAAACTCTCGAACCCTTAAAAGACCTTGCCGTGGTGATATCTTAAAAAATCATGCCAATGATTACATCAGGCCATAGTTATCAATTTCGGATAGCGTTACAGAACTATATATAAATTATTATATATACAAACTTATAATAAAAATACATAAGAAAATTCTATAAATTAATCTCATTATTACCATTCAAACCAATTAAATTGCAAAATAATATATAAGCATAGTTCATAAATAGTTATATATAATTAAATCACAACTACTTTGATAAATACATAATCAAAGTTAATCATGTTAAAAATCCCATAAAAAATTTTCTTCTTATTTCACTATCTTCACTACTACTTATGTATGAATATTCTTCGTCTTTTTCTTCTTCATTTTCATCGTTCCGTCACATTGCACAATAATCTTTTCCTTTCTAGAGCTAGAAATAACCATAGTATACTACAATATAATCGTACAAAATCTATATTTACCCGACAAATATATATAATATTATCTTGTAAAATCTAAATCTACTGGTGTGTTTGTTTGGGGGATTTTCCCCTAAATACACTATTCATCCTATTTTTTCCCTCTACAAAAATCAAATCAAACACTTATTTTTCATTTTTTATATTATACTAAAAAATCAATTTTACATTCAAAACATCACATCAACACCTATTTATATCACATCATACAACTATTCAAATTCAAAATTTTTACTAATTCAAATCCCAACTCAAAATCCAAACCCCCGAACAAACACACACTAAAGATTAAAGTGTACGATTATTCAATTCAAAAATCATTCCACTCTACTATGCTACACCGCAATTGCATAAAGACGGCAGCCATATGCATCAAATGTAACTTAACAACACAACAAGCATAGCATAATTTCACACCTCATTTCGAAAAGCTTGGCCAATCTGCGCAGCGGCGAAGGGAAGTTTGTTTCCATTATAATAGTACAAATCCTTAAAGTTCACGAAAATTCCCTGAGCCGTCTCCGGCCTCATATACCTGCAGCAGATCAAATACAAATTCACCATGAGTATCAATCCAACAACACCTATCAAACCAACACGAACAAGAACACTCACCCAGGGCTCAACCCCGACGGCCCAATCGACGTCTGAAACATTAGATTGAAAGGATAGGGATCCGAGAGAGCATTCTTCGTTTCCGGAGCAGTGATTCCATAGGCCTTTAATTTGTCTCCAAGCTCTTCAGCAGAGAGATCATCCAACACAGCCAAAACATGCTTCAATTCTGCAGACTTCTCGCCATTAATGGCAGTGTCCTTCTCAAGCTTCTCTTTGCAGTAATCTTTGAGCAGATGATCAGCTCGGTAACAAGTTCCAGTCTTCTCATCCTTCACCATAAGATCAGTGAACTTATCGACATGGCCAGATGCTTTCAGCACAATTTCAGGCGTAACGCAGGGGCAATCGACTTCCAACATGTTCTCTTCGAGAACGAAGTGCTGAATTCAACAAATTAATCATCAGCAACGAATTCCCCTCTCTTAATTGAGCGAGAAAAAAAAAAAAAAAAAGCAAATCTAATTAAACCTACTGTAATCAAAACCCTAGAAATTGGGGAAAATGTCGAATTCAAATATTCAATTCACGAGCAACGGTGGAATTCGAATCGATTTTACCTGACGCCAGAAAGCGAGGACGTTGGCCTTCACGGCGCAGCCCGGCGGCCCGTAGTCGTAAAGTCCGGCGACGCCGCGGTAGATCTTGAAGGATGGGACGTAGAAGAGGCGGCGTTCGAGCGTGTTGACGACGGTCTGCCGGAAAATTTCCCGATTGTTAGCCTCTTGCGCGGCGTCCATTTTCTCTCCTCGCAGCAGATGCAGAGAGGATTCACACAATTCCTTCGGAATTGCAGAGAAGTTAGCTGCGAATGTAGATTCTACCTATCTATGGAGGATATTTGTGGTGGAACTGTGGGGACCGGAAGAGAAACCGAAAATATCAACAGGAAGATTCTTTGGAGCTTCAAAATTATTCAATGGCTTCACTTCGTGAGCTCGTTAGTCGTTGGAGATAATTTTGGTCGCTAATTAATGCGGCATTAATTACTGTGATAAGAAGGGTTTGTCTGTAGCTGTGTGACTAGATAATATCATAGTTAAGAAAGTAGGGTGTGTTTGGATTTAAAATCAATTGGATGTATGTATGATTTTATTTTTTATTTAAATAATATGTTAATTTAATATATTTTGCAAGATGAAATAATATATTTTATGAGTTATTGTCCTGTCCTGAATAGTGTTGAAATGTGCTTCAAATTAAAAGTAATTTTTATTCTATTCGATTAAGGTGTTAATTTTATTTTTTTTATTCTAACGATTATTTGAAACATATAAATTTTTTCATTCAATATTTTTAGATGAATTAATTTTTTTTGTATGGTATAAGAAATTGTGTTAGTAGCATAAAAAATACTCCATCCGTCAATTTACAAGAGTTATATTTACTTTTGGCGCGGAGTTTAAGAAATAATAGTATTTTAATTATAGTGAATAGTTAAAAATAGTGCAATGATATTTTTGCCCTTACTTTTTTTTTTTGTGTAAAAGTAATGATGTGATGTAAAGTAAGGGTATTTGTGGAAAAAAATAGGATATTTAATGAAATGTAAACTTTGTAATTGGACGTCCCAAAATAGAAATATGTAACGAAGGGAGTAATATTTTGTGTTGAATGATTGAGTTTTTATGATGGATAATATATATATTATATTAATGTGTGTATATATTTGTATTTTTTTAATAATCTTTACAATGAATTGTTTAATTAAAAAATATTGAGTGACCAAACTGATTTAATTATTTTGATTTTTTCATTTGGCATATTTGAAATACTTCATCCGCTTGTTTAAGGGTCACATTGTAAAAACATTCAAAAAATTTTGTATATTTGTATACTTTTTTTTTGTTACATGTGTACTTGTGTTAGTATTATAAGACATCAATGGAAGTATTTTTGCAATTTCTTTTAATATGTAATACGTTTTGATATAATAATTAATATTTAAAATTCAATACGTAAAAGTAAATGAGACCTTAAAACCGAACGATGGTAATATAAAAATAGCATAAACTTATTTAACAACTAGCTGTGGTATATGAATATATTACTGGTATTTGTATTGAATTCAACTATAAAATGTGTTGATTTTTACTACTTTTTTCGTTCCGAAATTAAGTATCCATTTGCTTTTTGTACTTAGTTTTAGAAATATTAGTATTATATTGGAATATAGTAGGAATAAAATAGAAATGACTAAAATAACCTTATCAGGATGTGTGATATAAAGGTAATGACATTTGTGTAATATATTGTAAGTTGTAAGGGTATTTGTAATGTTAGGTAGAAAGTACAGTTACTAAAAAAATGAAATGAATACTTTGTTATAAAACGGACTAAAATAGAAAAATGGATACTTTGTTATCGGACTAAGGGAGTATAAAATTTGAAGACCATTCATTATTCATGTGTTGCATTTACAAAAAAAACCAAAAATAACATATCCTTTCATTGAGTTCATTTTTTAATGTTTTCAATTTACTTTTGTATTATTATTTTTTTTCTCATTAAACTAAATATATAATGCAAAAGAGACATAAAAATAAAACTCTACATAATTGCATATGATAAATTTATTATAATATCAAAACTTATTGCAAATGATCATCCATTCAAAAACTCAGTCATTAAAATTTTTTAAAATTTTAATATATATTTTTATGATTTCGAATTCTTCTCTATATTGTCAGGTCATTTTTACGAAATCTCATCGTATTGTATCTATTTTTAATTTCCATACAATTCTAATTTTATAAGTATATATATATAGCTATTTAACACATAATATGATGTTTGTATTTATAGATTGTGTGGACGATTTCTTCATAATGTGCTGTCAGCTTATATATTCTGTGATGTTTTTTCGTAGAATTTCTTTTGTACAAATTCAAATTATTATTTTTATTATTTTCACATGTTTTACTAAAATATATTTACTCTTTTTGTCCAGCTATAAAAATCACATTTATTTTTTGCATTATTATACTTAACATTAAAAATATGTTTATAGTATAATTTTTTGTACAAATATCATTCTATTAGTATTATAAGAACTAATTAAAGTAATTTTGCAATTTTTTCTTAATTTTTATTACGTTGTGATATAATAATTAATATTCAAATATCAACGAGCAAAAAATAAATAAGACTTTTAGAGCCGGACGGGGGTAGTATTTTTTATTTAATAAAAACAACTATTGTAATAATATCAAAATGTAATTAATTTTTACTTAAATCACAAAGATACAATTACACATACAATTATTTTATACATAAAATCAAATATAAAAAAATATCAAAACGTCCAACACAATTTCACTAACAAATAAAATACTATTAATTCTTAGTTTCTTATAAAATATCAAAGGAGTACATTCGAATGAAAATAGATAAAATATTTGTATTGAATTGTCGAATTTTTATAAATTGATAAAGAAAATATATTACTTCCCTCTCAATAAAAGATTGTCATTTTTCATTTTCGTCCGTCTTAAAATATTGTTACTATTTTCTAATTTAGTAATTATACTATCCATCCAACATAATAAATATCCTTTTTCTTATAATATAGTATACAAATGTCATTATTTTTATATTATATAATATTAATCGAGATATTTTTATTTTTTTCACTATAATTTAATATAATATTAATATTAAAAAAAAATTTATGTGAAAAAACAAAGTCTATCGTTTCAATCGAACGGAAAGAATATTATATGTATATATATACTATTTTCAGTAACATTTATAAAAATTATACCATCTATCTCTAATACTTATCTATCTATTTATTAAATTAGATATTATTATGCAATATATTAAATATAAATACACAAAATTATGACCTAAAATAAATTATAGGGAAAATGGTAAATAATGCTACGTAAATTAAATTATTATTTTCGATTTTTTTTTTTATTTTCGTAATTTAGGATACTATGTGTATTTTGGGTATATTTTTATCCTCCGACATCGGAAAAACGCACGTGACCATCACGTGTACCTTCGTAGTATGACCGGCGCATACGTGGACATCGCCGTTGTTGCGTTGTCGTCCGCATGGTAGTCGGTCATGTGACATAGAGTTATTTTTATTTTACTTTTATAATTTAGGACATTATGTGTACTCCAAGTATTATTTTTGCCCTCTGATTCCGAAAAAAGAATTTGTTCTAAGGTCATCGGATACGTGACGCGGAATTATTTTTTTTTTAATTTTAATTTGACCCAATTGGACCAAATTGAAATTAGAATAATCTAGAACAAATTATTTTTCCGGCGCCAAAGGGCAAAAATAATGTCCGAAATAAACATAATATCCTAATTTGAGAAAATGAAAAAAACAATAATTCCACGTCACTTATCCGACGACCACACGGAGCACAGCAACAACGATGTCTACGTATACACCAATCATACCTCGAAGGCGTACTTGACTCTCACGTGCATTTTTCTGACACCGGAGAAAAAAATAATATCTAAAGTGCACATAATATTATAATTTGCTAAAAAAAAAGAAAAAAAGAGGTGTTAAAAATGATAATTGGATCTGTACACCGCCATTTTTTACAATTTTTTCTAAATTATAAATGGCTGAAATTAACTGGATTAGGCTTACAGAGTCGGTCCCGACCGTACTAGCAGTTTCCCGCAGTCTCGAGAACTCTCTCGTCTCACCGTTTTATAACCCTCAGAAAAATCTAGCCCCTCCTCCCGCCCACATCCTCACCGTACACGTGTCCTCTCCTCGAACCCCCTCGAACTCACGCGAACCCCACCAGCACCATATATATATATACGCTTCCGCCCCTTCTCCTCTGTTCATCACAAAATCAACAAAACACACACAGAAAAGATCAACACAAAACTCTCAGAGAATTCTATTTTTTCGATTAGCGTAGGAATACTTATCGATCGAGCTTTTTGGCTATGGCGAAAACGGAAGGCAGAGCAATTGGCATCGATCTCGGCACGACGTACAGCTGCGTCGGGGTATGGCAGAACGACCGCGTCGAAATTATTCCAAACGATCAGGGGAACAGGACGACTCCGTCCTACGTCGCATTTACCGACACCGAGAGGCTGATAGGCGACGCCGCGAAGAATCAGGTCGCGATGAATCCTCAGAACACTGTTTTCGACGCCAAGCGTCTCATCGGCCGGCGGTACTCCGATCCGTCGGTGCAGAGCGACATGAAGCACTGGCCGTTTAAGGTGATTCCAGGTGCCGGCGATAAGCCGATGATTCAGGTACAGTATAAAGGAGAGGAGAAGCTCTTCTCTCCGGAGGAGATTTCGTCTATGGTTTTGACGAAGATGAAGGAAGTCGCGGAGGCTTTCCTCGGCGGCGAGGTGAAAAACGCCGTCGTAACTGTTCCTGCTTATTTCAACGATTCGCAGCGTCAGGCGACGAAGGACGCCGGCGCGATTTCTGGAATGAACGTCATGAGGATCATCAACGAGCCTACAGCTGCTGCAATCGCCTACGGATTGGATAAAAAAGCTTCTAGAAGCGGCGAGAAGAACGTTCTGATCTTCGATCTCGGCGGCGGTACTTTCGACGTCTCTCTGTTAACGATTGAGGAAGGAATTTTCGAAGTAAAAGCCACCGCCGGCGACACGCATCTCGGCGGCGAAGATTTCGACAACCGTATGGTGAATCACTTCGCGTCGGAGTTCAAGCGGAAGCACAGAAAGGACATCAGCACCAACGCCAGAGCGCTCCGGCGACTGAGAACCGCCTGCGAGAGAGCAAAAAGGACACTCTCCTCCACCGCACAGACGACAATCGAAATCGATTCTCTATTCGAAGGTATCGATTTCTATGCTACCATTACCAGAGCTCGATTCGAGGAGCTAAACATGGATCTGTTCCGGAAATGTATGGAGCCTGTGGAGAAATGCTTGAGAGACGCCAAAATCGACAAGAGCCACGTAAACGACGTCGTTTTAGTCGGAGGATCGACACGAATCCCCAAAGTGCAGCAGCTTTTGCAGGACTTCTTCAATGGTAAGGAGTTATGCAAAAGCATAAACCCTGATGAGGCCGTAGCGTACGGCGCCGCAGTGCAGGCGGCGATCCTAAGCGGCGAAGGTAACGAGAAGGTCCAGGACCTCCTCCTCCTCGATGTAACGCCGTTAAGCCTCGGCATTGAAACCGCCGGCGGAGTAATGACGACGTTAATCCCTCGCAACACTACGATCCCCACTAAGAAGGAGCAAATCTTTTCGACGTATGCCGACAACCAGCCCGGCGTACTGATCCAGGTCTTTGAAGGCGAACGGCAAATGACGAAGGACAACAACCTCCTCGGAAAATTCGAGCTAAAAGGGATTCCGCCGGCGCCGCGTGGCGTGCCGCAGATCAACGTGTGCTTCGACCTCGACGCCAACGGGATTCTCCACGTTACGGCGGAGGATAAGACGGCCGGCGTGAAGAACACGATCACGATCACCAACGACAAGGGCCGGCTGAGCAAGGAAGAGATCGAGCGGATGGTGAACGACGCCGAGAGGTATAAAGCCGAGGACGAGGCAATGAAGAAGAAAGTAGAGGCGAAGAATGCGCTAGAGAATTATGCGTATAGTATGCGGAATACGGTGAGAGATGAAAAGGTCGCGGCGAAATTGGGTGGCGATAAGGATAGGGTTGAGAAGGCGGTTGACGACGCGATCGATTGGCTCGACCGGAATCAGCTCGCCGAGGTCGACGAGTTTGAGGATAAGTTGAAGGAGTTGGAGGGAGTGTGCAATCCGATTATATCGAAGATGTATCAGGGCGGCGCCGGCGGCGATGATATGCCGGGGAGTGGTGGCGGTAGTGGCGGAAGTGGTGGCGCCGCCGCCGGAGGGCCGAAGATTGAAGAAGTTGATTAAGGTATTGTGTTATGTGAGAGTGATGTGATGAGGTTTTATGTAGTTGATGTGTATGGTTTGTGTTTTGTTGTGTTGAGGTTTTGAGACATTGTGGTGTAATGTTCATTGTGGACGTTTAATAAAATTATTTAAGGAGTAGCTGTTCATCTATTATTTTTATTATAATAAAAAATATATTTCAGGGATTTTGGATGATATTTACGGCTTAAATGAGGTCGATTTAATTAAAAGTTGATGTATTGATAGCAATTTATTTTTATAATTTAATTTTGGTATTTATATATATTACTTCTATTATAATAAGAATATTTTTATTTCCGGTGTGTTTGTTTGGAGATTTGGATTTTGAGTTGGGATTTGAATGGTAAAAATTTTGAATTTGAATAGTTGTATGATGTGATATTAATAGGCGTTGATGTAATGTTTTGAATGTAAAGTTAATTTTTAGTATAATGTTTTGAATGTAAAGTTAATTTTTAGTATAATATTAAAAAAATAAAAAATAGGTGTTTGATTTGATTTTTTTTTTTTTGAAAAAAAATTGGATGAACAGAGGGATTATTCCAATCCCCCAAACAAACACACCCGAACAAGAATTTTGAATGATATGTAGAGTCATATGGCTTCAAAAGATTCGCATATGAAGAGCCTATGTTATCATTTAAAATTAATTGTCCACACATATGCATTCCAATGGTGAACCAACTCCAAAAAAATTATCCGAATGTGTGAATAAGAATAATAGTGTTCTGAATTAAAATAAATATAAGGTCTAAGAAAAATCTATGTTACCATGAAAAAATAATTTTCATAAAAATAATTGAAATTTATAGAAAAAATAAAATTCATGGACGATTGAAAGAAATATTTTTTACATGGATAAGTTAGAAATTTATAAACATAAGAAAATTAATGGATAAGGAAAAAAAAATATTTCTAAATATATTATCATTGATAAGGTGAAATCCAAATGCAAAGTCTTATGGACAAGAGAAAAATTATGTTTTTTTTTTAAGAAATTATGTGGGCAAAGTCAAGATCCATGCAAAAAGGGAAAATATTTGCAATGAATTTTTGAGGAAAATTTCAACTTTTTGCTGGAAGACAAGAAAAATGTGCACATAGAAGTAGGGCCAAACCAAGGAAATATTTTCTTATGAATATAGTGTCCTAATTAGCAAAAAAAAAAAGGAATAATGGAAAATTGATCATAGCTGCTAATCAAAGGCCATAACTCTAACTCTTGATATAAATATGAGATTTTATCTCAAGTAATTTCTTAGATTTTGATATTTTAACAAAATTTGAAGATTATCCAAACGGGATATTTTGGTGAAATTCCAAAGTTAGATTTTAATTAGAAAATATTAATTATTATAACTGTTTATTTTATGTACTAAGAGTTGTGTCCCTTCGTGCTATTAATAGGTTAGAATGGTGTGTCAATTGGTAAACATCATTTAGATTACATAAATAGGGTATGTTATATTTATTATAACAAAGATTCACATATTTCAATCAAATTTATATTTCTTTTATTTTTATAAAATTTATTTAATTTTTCGCATTTTTTTCTTATACCTTAATTTATTTACTGTCAAATTTCTTGACATTGTGTTTGATACAAATTAAGAACTTAGGGTTTACGAAAACAGTAACACACAAGACTTAAAAGCATCAAAAATTTTAATTCATAACTTTCACGGGTTCAGTTACCCTACCTTCAATGTATTGTGATCCGACCAATCACCATCGGCCATATATATATTTTTAAAACAAAAAAATTAATAAAATTAAAAAATTAAAATACACATGACAGTTGGCAATTGGTCGATACAAAAGAGGCACCGAACCTATGACTTCACAATCAAAAATTAATAGCAGAAGTGGTTATTTGTTATTTCACTCAGCAAATTCCAAAGAACATTAAACACCAAAACGAAAAATTGAAATAACACACACACAACATACCCCCTCCCACCCCCCCCCCCCCCCCCCCCCCCCCACCTTCCCCGCCATTTTTCATTCAATTCAAAACACAAAATAAACACATTACCTCACTCATATTTCATACAGAAGCTTCTCGAACACCTTCATATGCTCCGGCTGCAGCGCAATCGTCACATAGAGGCTCCCGTCGTCCGTCGGGCTCGGCAAAACGTAGCTCAGCCCCTCGTACGCCACCCCACCCGGACCCATAAATATCGGCTTCCCCCAACCGAAATCCGCGTCGTAAACCGGCAGCTTCGCCCAGCTCGTAATCCCGAGGTTCGGCGACTTATACGTGTGGGCCCCGCGCACCAGCGCCTTGAGGTCCGGCTGGAGCTCCAGGTAGTCGAGCGCCGACCGCAAGTACGCGTCGTCCATCTTGGCCACGAAGTCGTGTATCTTCCCGGCGGCGTGCCACGCCGGGTTCAACGTTAGGTCGCCCGACTTGGCGATCGGCGTCGCCGTAAAAAGCACGTTTCCAAAGTATCCACGCGGGAGCGGCGGCTTCAGGCGGTATCGGCCGTCGACGGCGACGTACAGCTTTGTCTCCTGGTCATCGGGGAGGTTGCGGGCGAGGCAGACGCAGCGCCAGATGTGGGCCGAGAGCATCTCGTAGGAGCTGTAGGTGACGGTGTTGCCGTCATCGTTGGCCTTCGCCTTGATGGCGTTGAGCTGGTCGCGTGTTAGCTTGAGCATGGCGTAGGCCGGGTCGGGGGCCGGCCCGTCTTGCGGCATCGACGGGGGCGGGTGGTACTCGACGTGCTTGAACTGCGGCTGCGGCGGGTTGCGGGCGCGGAGGAGGGTGCGGTCGATGTAGGGCGGGAAGGTCGGGTCGTCGCCACGCGCGATGCCGCACCATTTGCTTATCAGGTGGAGTGCGGAGGTCCCGTCGACAACGTGATGCTGCATTCCCGTGCCGATGGTAACTCCTCCGCACTTGAATTTCGTCACCTGACGATAATTTTACATTCAAAATATCATAATCTAAAACTTTCATAGAAAAAAAGAACAATATAAAACGTGAGAAAATAGTTAATAATAATAGAACTATAATCCTACTACACAAATTAATTGATATTATAGTCCTCTTAATTAAAACATAATAAAAGCATTTTCTATTTCAAGTAAATTGCACTGCCATCCAAAGACATAAAAAGCATCTCAAAACATAAACAAACACTAATTTAGAGAATATCTATGTCTCTATATGTATACATACACATTCAATTATCGATTACCCCTGTACTCATCTTTTACTAAAAAAATCACTTTCTAAAGATATCACAATTCACAGCCAAAAATATCAAATACAATAGCTAGTTCTGTAACATCGAATACTACCTCCGTCCGACTTTTCGCGTGTTTATTTTTTAATATTAATTATTATATCAAAACATAATACAAATTAAAAAAAAAATTACAAAAATTGTTCAATTAGTATCTTATAATATGAATAGAAAGACATTTGTACAAAAATATTATACAAATATAAAAATATGTGTTTGTTTGAGGGATTTTGTGGGATTTCTACTATTCCCACAAAATTTTCCCTCAAAAAACATCAAATCAAACATTTATCTTTCATTTTTTTATATTATACTAAAAATCAATTTTACATTAAAAACATCACATCAATTCTTATTTATATCACATCACAATTATTCAAATTCAAAATTTTTACTATTCAAATCCCAACCCAAAATCCAAACCCTCAAACAAAAATGACGCAAAAGCAGTATAATTTTTTATTTAATTTTTTTACTATTTTTAAACTATTTAGTGTATCTAAACATAATCAAACGTATTTCTTAGCTCCGTACAACGTACAATTTCACCCAAGTAGTTGTATTTGAATTTCAAGAAACAAATGATATAGTAAAAGACATAGGTGTGTGTCTTTGGATAAAGTTTGAAAAATTTCGATTTGAATTTAGTATTAAAATAATATCGGATGAAATATTTTGTGATAAAAAATTCATAAAAATACACTCTATAATTTAGAGAAGAAGAAACGAAATTGAACACGCAATTAATATGAAACCTAATTCTCCTTCCACAATGTGAATTAGCATTTTCAATAATTTATCATACATACACGAAAAAAAAAAGAAAATAAATAAAAATGCTATCATTATTATATTGACAACTTTATCGATATCTAAATAAAGCTTATTTTTTTATTAAATGATTCGATGAAGAGTAATCAATTCTCGAGATGTGTACCTAATCTAGCAATAAAATAAAAAGTCAATCTAAACATATTAAAATAGTATTTTAAATTAAAACCTAACACTAATTTATTTTTTTCCCAAAAACATCACAATAAAACACATTATTTAATCAAAGTATAACCAAACTACAATTAAATTTAAATTTAGAAATCACACCTAAGTGGGGGCCCTACATAAATACATTTCTATATTGACAAGTATTGGCTAAACAATTAGGTACCTTTTTCTACACGTTCTCAGCGTAATTAATGGACTAATTAAAAGCATAAATTAATATGTTTTACGTCTCACTATAATGGAACTTACTGTAAGCTATGTTCTTTCTACAATTTTCCTAATCAAATATAGTAAATATTACAAAAGATCTCAAGTAAATTCATAGGGTTTAATGCCTAAAGCTATGTATGGTAAGCATGGACCAAATATATAAATGCTAAAGATAAGGCAATGATCTGCTATTTAAATAAAATACATATATAAAAACATCCCTAAACGCAATAGTATATGCCTCCCAATAAATACTCCAAACATCCCAAATAAATGTGCATCAAATTTCTGTACCTAAAATTTTTATTGTTCATGTAGCTGCCCAGATTCAATAATCAGTTATAGTTATTGCAAGCAAGAGAGAAAATCTTTAATTTGTTTTGATTGATTGTGTTATGATGCTTTAATATGGTAAAAGATATTTATTTCAAATGATAATAATGTTCTATCTTGGTGTTATTAGGGAGAACAAAAGGACAAATATAGATTATTGTAGAGAAAAAATTCTTTAGGCAAAACAGAATCACAGAAATCAGGGCTAGATCTGTATACACACTTTTCAAAATTTTGGAAATGTAAGATAATCACATCAAGCAGCTATGTTATCAGTTTATGCCATTTGTAAAATTTTTGGACAGTTCCTAAATTTCCAAAACTCTTAGGGAAATGGAGTTCAGATATTTATTCTTCTAAATTTCCATGTCTCTGTTTAGCAATTATTGAATTGTCTTCTCTAGTAAATACAATAAATTCCGTTGATCTACAAGCTACCTTAAAATTCACCAGAACTGAATCAACAGATAGATTGAATCGAGGTGGTGTACAATGTTAATGAAGACATTTTTGTGCAAAATTCTATACTGTAGCTATGTGAAAGAATCTATTCGGAACACTCGATTATTTCATGTTCAATTCCAATCAGAAAAAACAAAAATGAGCATGTAAACCTTACATCATTGAAATGTTTAGCTCCAGCTTCACAAACGAAATTGCATAATTATCATAATCTCAACACGATTTGAAAAGCGATTTGAAGTAGCTTTCAAAATGTTGTGTGAGTTTTTCGAAATGAAGAAAGATATGAAAAAGTAAAGTAAGCAAAATGTGATTCAGAAATTTTTTTTTAGGTCCACAGAAAACAGCAGAACACACATATAGCAAAAAGTGCAAAAGTGCAAAACAATTCCTCAAAAAACCAAACGCACCTGCAAAACGAGAAGTGGATAAGAAGATATGCCCTGGCTATAATCCACCGCCGGAATGAGGCGGCGGAACTCATGCCTAGGCGCAAAGTCGCCGAAATCATCTATTACTCCGTCGGATTCCGCCTCCACAAAGAGCGCTCCCTCGGCGTTGCAATCGACCTCAACTCTCCCGTCGTTGTCTCTCTTCAGCCTCCCGGCCAACGGATAGAAAGGAACGAGCGCACGTGCGAGCGCGGACTTCATCACCGCCGCATCGAAGAAATTATCGGCGCCGTTCGGCCGGTAGAAGTACACGGTGGGGGTATGGAAGTTCGGGACGATTAGATCGACATTAGAATTCCACAAGCTCACACGTGGCGTCTCCTCCGCCGGGCGCACCAACGTCGACTCCTTCACATTGATTTTCATGACCTCACGGCGGCGATTTGGAAGCTCCGATGATCGATCGGAAAACCGTTACTCCGGAGCTCGATTTTGACTCTGCCTCTATGTGACCGGAGACCACGTGGAGGTGGGAACGCCGTCTAGCTGTGCATTTATAGGCTCAATTATTGGTTGGCCCAAATTCGAATTACATAAAAGTTGAGGCCCTTTTTGCAATTTACCACCAAAAGTCTTCCTGTCAACCAGTCACCGGCACGTGAAAACTACCGATCAAAGTTATTGATGGTATAAAATAAGAATATAATATATAATACTTATTTATATAATCATTATTACAACTTACATGAATTAAATAAAGTAGTGTTATTTGTTGTAAATAAGTTTGAACTGAGGATAATTGTTAAATGTTGAATTGTTGACTTTGTCAAAATTAGTAATGAGTTAAATTTAGCGGACAGACTAAAAAGAAAAATGAGAGAAAATTTGGCAGACGAAACAAGTATTTATATTTTTTAGTAACCGTACTGTCTATCTAACATTACAAATATTCTTTCAATTTACAATATATTACACAAATGTACATTTATATCATACAATACTAATAAAGTTAATTTAGACTTTTTTACCTTTATTTATATTACATTTCAATATTACACTAATATTTTAAAACTCCGTAAAAAAAATAAATGAATAAATAAATATGGGATAAAATGAGTATTATTTTTTAATAACATTGAGTGAATGTAGCGAACATGTTCGTGGTTTTTGTTGCAAGTTGAAAATTATATTTTTAATTTTAATTTTATTGTTAAGAAATGAAATTTGGTTTGATTTTAAATATAATAAAATTTATTTTCTGTATTTTATCTAAATAGCTATAAACAGTTTTGCCATAAATTGAAAAATAGCATTACTATATTAATTAGTGAATTTCTCTAAAATATAAATTTCAATAATAAAGATACTTGAGTTTAAATTATATATTGAATATTCACTTTTTTTTATTTTCTGTTATGTAATATATTCATATTTTTAAGTAAAATATTATATTTTTAAATAATACAGTATTAAATATAATATTTAAATAATAATAAAAAAAAAGTGATTTAAATTTAGGAAAAGAAATTGAGCCAAAAAAGAATTAGGAAAAGAAAAATATGATAAAAATCTCTCTGTAGTATGTAAGACGTGCACGAATGTGCGCGTCCGGCGGCTTTTGGTATTAGGAGTACAATATTTTATTTATATTTAATTTTTTTTTTAAAAAAAAAAATCGAAATAAATTCATTCTAGAATATTAAAAATAAAGAATACTATTATTAGTATTATTATTAGATCCTAAAAAAAATAATAATAAACCAGATTATTTGTATAAGCTTTTTTTTATTGAATTTGTTTTGGTCTGGTTTGAAATTAATTTTAAATAAAACGTTGATTTAAATTTTTATTTAATAAATAGTTTGATGTGATATTTTGTGCGACAAAATAATGTATTTATTGATCAATTCTATGGGTAAAATATTATAAAATTAATTAAATTAATTTATATTTGTTAAATATATTTAAAATAATAAATTTACTATAACTAAATAAAAATATATTTCCTCTAAAGTAGAAATAAAGATAAAAAGACTAAATTATCCATGTTAGTATGGTATGATATAAAGATAATGATATTTGTGTAATATATTGTAAATTGAAAATGTATTTGTAATGTTAGGTAGATTGTACAATTACTAAAAATAAAATGAATACTTTATTATGGAACGAACCAAAATAAATAAATAAATAAATTATTAAGGGACAGGTGGAGTATCATCTTTTATAAAATCGGATTAAAAAGAGGTGAAAATAATAATATAAAATTGTGCCTTAGACCCCAGGCCCTACTCGGAGTAGCTTAGTTGGTATGGGGTGAATTTATATGTTTATTATTCAATTTATTATTAACTTTTTTATTTCTCGAAAATATTACTATATTTAATATTTCCTTGGTCCGGTAAGAAGATTATCATGATATTTTTGCGTGATGATCTTTAAATATTAATTAATATATCAATACGCAGTAAAAATCACGAGAAAAAGGCAAAAATATGTTTATTAGTCTCTTATAATACAAATACAATGACATTTGTTGAGTAAATTATTCAAATATAAAGATATTTTTAATGTTAAGTACAATGATGCAAAAACCAAATGACAACATTCTTGCAGCCCGCAAGAAGGTTGTCATTGGCTTTTTGTGTGTTGATCTTTGAATATTAATTATGATATTAATACGTAGTATAAATAAAAAAAATAAAAATATATTTATTAGTCTTTTATAATACATATACAATGATATTTGTCGAGTAAATTATTCAAATAAAATGATATTTTTAATGTTAAATATAATAACGTAAAAACTAAATGACAACCTTCTTACGGGACGAATGAAGTATAAAAATCTCATTAAACAACTTTGTTGTACATAAATATCAAAATATAAAAGAAACGATATGATATTTTATAATATAAAATGATACACTCCATATGTCATCAAAAGCATGTAATTATTTTAATTTTTTTTAAAAAAAAAAACATGTAACTATTGTATAATAAAATAAAGTCGACAGGTAAGCCATCTTCAATCCATAAACTTCATTTATACAATTTTAATTCCACAAATATAATTTATTTAGTATTTTTATTCTAATCATAACTCTATTTATCATGACATTCTTCAATTCTATTTTATATATAATTTTAAATAATTTTTTATTTTTATAATTTACATTATACTAATATATTGTGTTGCATGTATATTATCATGTGCTTTAAGAATATGTGTTATATATAATATTACAATGTGTTGTCATTTATGTATTGCTTGCTTTGTATATTTATAATTAAAAAAATAGTTAGAAATAAAAAATTATTTTTTATGTAAACAAATAATAGAAATAAGAAACTTAATATTTATAATTTTTATTAAATATAAAGATCCCAGAACAATTTATTTTTCATCTATCGGAGATGATATTGCGACGGGGAGACGGCATTGATTTAGGGTTTCGTTGCGGGTGTTTTTGTTTGAATGAATTTAATTGATTTTTTTTCCTGTGTACAGATTTTTTTTTTTCAAAAATATCAAATCAAATATTTAATATTTACTTTTTATATTATAATTAAAATTAATTTTATATTCAAAATATCACATTAATTTCTATTTAAATATTTCAGTAAATACTTATTTAAATTTAAAATTTTACTGTTCAAATTTCTACACAAACGCACCTTAAGGAATTTTGTAAATATTAAGAATTGTATTAACGTGATATTAATAATAAATAAATTGTGCTATCATAAATTCAAAAAATATATACTCTCTCCGTTCCATAACAAAGTATTTATTTTTTCATTTTAGTCCATTTTATAATAAAATATTCATTTTTTTTTAGTAATTATATTATCTACCTAACACTACAAATGCATTTACAACTTACAATATATTATACAAATGTCATTACCTTTATATCACACATAGTAATAAGATTATTTTAGTCATTTCTACTTTATTTTTACTATATCCAAATATAATACTAATATTTCTAAAACTACGTGTAAAAAATAAATGAATATTTAATTATGGAACGAAGGGAACAGTATAAAATAAATCAGTTTGGCTTTCAAATAAATAAATGTTCAGAATGCCTAATGAATTCTAATATTTGTCCAGATCAGGACATACATATACATACAAATTTTAAATTAATCAGTTATTTCACGTGGTACTTGCATACTCCCTTCGTCCTGATATTTTATCCGCAGTACCGTAGACACGAGAATTTAAGAGGAGTATAATTAATAAATAATTTAAAATGTATTAGTGAAAATAATTATAGTGTAATAATAGATTAAGATAATTGATTAGTATAATTAAATTTTTAAAAAAATTATAAAGTAATTTTTTAAAAATAAGATTAAAATGTATAATTATTTTATAAAAAATAAAAGTAATAAAATAAGTGGGACGGATGAAAATGGAAAAATTGACGTGAGGAGTTTGAGATCTTTTTAATAATGTTTTGTTTGTACTCTGTCAATCATGAATAGGTTATTCATTTTTGCATAAATTATTAATAATAAATTATTATACTTAGTATTTTATAATTTTTTTATATAAATAGTATTATTACTATTTTTTAAAATATAAATTAATGTATATAAATTAAAAAAAAAATAAAATATACGTTTAAAAATTTTTGGAATTGTATCAATATCAATATATTTTTTAGATAATAAAATTTCATATAATACAAAAAAATATATATTTATATTTAAGTTAAACTAGTTTTTATAAAAAATAATAAAATTTTTAAATATAAATAAAAATAAGATACAAAAATTGATTTATACTATCTCCGTTCGTCTTTAAGGTCGCATTTACCTTTTGCGTAATTGTTTCTAACATTAAAAATATTATTATATTTGTATAATTTTTTGTACAAATGTCTTTCTATTTAATATTATAAGACACTAATGAAAGTATTTTTGCAATTTATTTATTAATTTATATTACATTTTAATATAATAATAATTAATATTTAAATATCAATATGTAAAAAGTAAATGAGACTTTTAGAGTCGGACGAAGATAGTATTTGTTAAATATATTTAAAATAAATAAATTTATTATTAATAGAAATATGCCATCGAAAAAAATAAATAAATAAATAAATGATTCATCCTAATTAAATTGATATATTATGGGACTAAAAATCAACCTAATTAAATACATATTATATTACATATAATCAAAGTACACATCATAATTTCCGATAAAAAAAAAAAAAAAGTACACATCATAATTTAAAATCCTAATTTTTGGAAAGTTTTGGGCTTTGTTTAGTTGGCAATTAAAAATTGTTATTATTAAATTATTACGATTTTATTTAAGAATATATAGATGAGATTTGAATTTTCAATTTGGATTTTTTAATAAAAGAAATTTGGATTGAAATATTTGTTTAATACTCCATCCGTTCCACATACCATGTCTACGTTGCTGTTTTTGTCCGTCCCACATACCATGTCATTTTCTTTTTTGGAAAATGATTACACACTTTAATTTTATTTTAAACTTTTTAATTTATTTTTT